TATACCTTTTAGTTTGCAAATAGTAAGAGGAGGTAGTAATGAATAAATTCACAACATTATCAGACGGTTTGCAACTTTTTCGAACCAACTTTTTTTATTTTCGGCCTATCTAAAAAGTTTTCAGCCTATCTACAACGTTTTAGAACATTTCCAAACTACCTGATTTTTAAGATCTTGTTTTGACTGAATTTGAATTTACTTTTCGAAGGACCATATGTAAAACACTTAATTGATAACTGTATATATTTATTTTGTATTAATAACAAGTTATAAGTGTATTTACAATAACTTTAATACTGTTTTTGATTACGATCTGATTGATTGATTTATTTATATAATTTTTTGATAGATGATTTTTTGTTTAATATATCAAATATATCCGCATGCTTTGATTGGCGCGAACACTACCTAAAACATTTTTGTACTATCCTTGATAGTATCTTATAGTAATTTATCTTTTACGAACAAAACATTTTCACACTACCTATACCACTTTCAGACTATCTAAAACATTTTCAGACTGTCTAGAACAATTTCAGACTATCTACTATGTTTTCAGACTACCAACTACGTTTTCAGACTATCTAAAAAAATTTCAGCCTATCTAAAAAGTTTTCAGCCTATCTAAAAAGTTTTCAGCCTATCTAAAATGCTGTCAGACTATCTACAATAATTTCGGACAAAATAGAATATTTTTAGACTATCTAGCATATTTTTATATTATCTAGAACATTTTAAGACTATCTAGAACAATTTCAGACTATCTACTATGTTTTCAGACCACCAACTACATTTACAGACTATCTAAAAAAATTTCAGCCTATCTAAAAAGTTTTCAGCCTATCTAAAATGCTGTCAGACTATCTACAATAATCTCTGTTAAAATAGAATATTTTTAGACTATCAAGCATATTTTTATATTATCTAGGACATTTTAAGACTATCTAGAACAATTTCAGACTATCTGCTATATATGTTTTCAGACGACCAACTACGTTTTCAGACTATCTAAAAAATTTTCAGCCTATCTAAAATGTTTTCAGCCTATCTAAAAAGTTTTGAGCCTATCTAAAAGTTTTCAGTCTATCTAAAAAGTTATCTAGAACATTTTAAGACTATCTAGAACATTTTCAGACTATCTACTACGTTTTCAGACATCCTACAACGATTTCAGCCTGAAATGTTTTCAGACTATCATATTTTAGATTATTTAGCATGTTTTTACATTATCTATAACCTTTTCAGACTACCTAGAATATTTTTATACTATCTACATCGTTTTCAGAAGTCTATCTTCAATAAACAAAACACTTTCAGGCTATCAGCATTACTTTTAGACTACCTATAATACTTTCAGATTATCGAGAACATTTGTTAGACTATCTACTACGTTTTCAGTCTATCTTGAAATTTTTCGAACTATCTGAAACAATTTCAGATTATATATGTATGTATAGCATCAAAAACCATTTGTATATCAATAAATTTTGGAACTAAAAATCAAAAGTGGTAGGAAAAATTGACTGAGCATCATGATTTTTTTTATTTCCTTGGGAGAACATAAAGTGCTATTTAAATGAGGAAGTAAGTACAGGAAGTACAGGTTGCTTCTTCTTGTAATGCGATCTGGGTAACCCAGATCACTGGCATCTATTTAAAATCTGTACTGAAATAATTTCACATTTAATAAGAAAAATTAAAAAAAAAACTGTTGTGATTTTATCTAATATTATTAAAATTGTTCAGGAACTACTATATGTATTTCTTTGTTTCTGTTCCGGAACTGAACTATTTATTGCACATTAAAATGCAGTATTGCACATTATATTCCTTGGTCTAATTTATAATTTACAAAGCAATTTTGATCTTATCGGGTATGTTTTTACGTTGCCGACGTCAAATAGAATTCAAACACCTATATTTGTATTATTATGCATTACGGTCAAACGCCTTGATTTGCAATGTAGGTCATTTATGATAACTTAAAAAATGTTAATATATGTTAAACAAAGTGCTATCGACAGAAATAAAACAAAACAAGGTGATAAAAAAAATATCAATAAGAACATGTACTCCTGCTTTTTATCCTTGAGTAAGGATTTAGCAACTTTTAGAGCTGTCAGAAAAAAACTTTAAAATGTATGATTAAATTTTAGGATGTTCGTCAAAATTATGATTGGCATCATACAAATTTACGTCAAAATCGTCAAAAACAGTTTTTTTTGACAATTAATTATGAAGAAACAGCTTGGCCGATCTGTACCAAATCAGGGCTATTTCCAACTGATATATCTGGAAAAGCTTTTGAATGTTCAAAATCGACTCACGACTTTGGTAAAAACTTTAGGCAAATAATTTTGCACAATCTGATAATTATAAACAAACAGCTCTTATTATTAACACGTGTCTTTATTGAGATTCATAAACGTCATTAAAATTTTGACATCGGTGCGCCATTTTTGAAAAAAAAACGTGGACGAAATGTCAAAGTTTGACTTATAATTTTTCCAATTTTGATGTCGAAGGATTCAGGATGACATGGAACGTCGAAGCACATAATTAGCTAATATGTTTTTCTAGATAAAACAAACTTCTTTAAACGTTAAAAATATATAAACACTAATTGTCCTTATCGAGTTTCATCAAACGGTATTTAAATTTTTAAAATCGGTTCGCCATTTTGGAAAAACGTGGACAAAATATCAAAGTTTGGCTTATACTTTTTCCCATTTTGATGTCGAAGGATTCAGGATGACATGGAACGTCGAGAACACAAAATTAGCAAATATGTTTTCTGAATAAAACAGACTTCTTTAAACGTTAAAAATATATAAACAATAATTGTCCTTATTAGGTTTCATCAAACAGTGTTTAAACTTTTGACACCGGGGCGCCATTTTTTAAAAAAACGTGGACGAAATGTCAAATGTAGGCTAATACTTTTTCCGATTTTGATGTCGAAGGATTCAGGATGACATAGAATGTCGAGAACACAAAATTAGCAAATATGTTTTTCTGGATAGAACAAACTTTTTTAAACGTTAAAAATATATAAACAATAATTGTCCTTATCAAGTTTCATCAAACGATATTTAAATTTTTGACACGGGAGCGCCATTTTTTTAAAAAAACGTGGACGAAATGTCAATGTTTGGCTTATACTTTTTCTAATTTTGATGTCGAAGGATTCAGGATGGCATGAAACGTCGAGAACCCAAAATTAGCAAATATGTTTTTCTGGATAAACTTTTACAAATGTTAAAAATATATAAACAATAATTGTGTACGTATAAATAAATAATAATAGAAAATCATCAGTGTGTGCAATCACAACACGTCTGAAGTTGTTTAATAAATTTCATTTTGCCTTAATATTAATTTAATGAATTTTTATATTTTAACTGTTAGTAATTTTAACGACAAAAACAAGGTCATATAATCATCTAATAAAATCGATACCTTTATGAATATAATAAATATCGCATGTATGATTTTTTCGAGCATGCTTTAGATTAGAAAATGTTAGTTACGTAACGCTGAATTTGCTCAAGCGAATCGGCAATTATGTGACCCTGAACACTTTTTGCCTTTTTTAGTACGGACATTGAAGAAAAATATTGATCAAATGAAATTCAGTGAAACTGAAACAATATAAATTAAAATAACTTTACATGGATACTTTGTAACTATAGTTGAGATCAAGTCTATGAGATAAGTTTATTGATCTACTGATTTTGCCTCTCTTTCGGCGGCTACATGCTAGCCTTTCTAATGTACACCAAGCGGTAACTAAAAGGCAAATAACGTTACCTACAGTCGACGCTTCGATGATTTTTGTAAAAGATAATATAAAACAGCTCTAATTCTATGCGAAAAACATTACGTGTCATTTATTACAAACAAATACTGCATCAAAATCGGCGCATACAGTACAGGTTATGTTCAAGCGCGGACATTTTCACAAACGTCAGATTTGGGTAAAAATACATAAAACGCTCCACCATCTACTTGTCATTTGTTTTACAGAATACCTAAAGTACTTTAAATACTAAATAAATCAAAATTTAATTTCCACTTACCTTGCTCCTTTCGCGTTACTTAGAATTTTACACAGGTGCACATTTCACCGTCAGTCACTTAACACATGGGACATTATAAACTTCAATTTTACGGTGTTTTTTTAACTGTAATGGATTATTTGTTATTTATAAAATACTGCACATTTTAATTCAACTCAACACTAAATGAATCATTATAATAAAGCAAATATTTATTCATTGTTTAAAGAAAGAGAGGTGAGTGCGGTTTGTGTATAAAGTGTCAGCTGGTTCGGCGCCCACTGCTCTACTGATTTCTTATAAGATTCATTTAAAATTAACGCCATCACCCGTGAAAGCAAAGAAACGATAGAAGATTTTGAATTCAAATAGAAACAAATTTATCTTTATTTACTATTATGATACATACTTTGTATTAAATGAAATATTTCAAATTAAAACATATTGATTTAAAATATTGATATCACATAACATGGTCAAATTATCTATAATACATAAAGGACCAGTCAAAAGTTATGAGCGCAACTTGTTACTGCAAACTTAAATGAATTTTCTATGATATTATCTACAATAATTTAGGATGTTCGTTTAATGAATCATCTAATAATGAACTGTATTTCTACACTATAATGTTTCATTAAAATCATCAAAAAAATTATTCAAACAATTTATTATGAAAAAACGATCCGGCAGATCTTCACCACATGACTTGATAGTTTAAATTATTTATCACATTTGCAGAGAACATTTATTACAAAACTCCAAATATAAACTCCAAATGCAATTGGTATTTTATTCTAATTAAAATCCTGCCAATTTCAGCAATATTTTTGATAGAATACTGGCAAGGTAACAAAAATATGAATCTTATTAGATTAAAAAAGTTAATTATCATTTGCAAAGGCACTAATCAAATTACCTGACCATTACCATTTCAATTTCTTATCTAAAATCTATCACTGTTTTATGCGTCGCATGAGAACGTGCAGCGTCCAGTTCGTCTTCTCGAAATGCAGGATCTGCCGCCGGATCCTCAATGGTCACGGCTTTAAAAGATTCACTAGGAAACCATTGAGAATGAGCTACTGATATGGCTGATAATGTCAATGGTTCCGTGCCAATACTGGACCAGGAATCAGATCCTGCGACCACAAACAGCGGCTTATTGTAATCCTACAAAGAAACAGAATTGTTTGTAAATATAATAGATAAATTGATAACATTTGAATACACTTACCGTACTTAAACCTTTAACTTGAGCATCGTTTAAGCGTCCAAATGCAGCATCGTTTAAAATTTGTTTAGCCCTCTTAATGAAATTGGAGTCGAATTGGGAATAGAAAAGTAAAGTAGCTCCTAACAAATGACAGCAACTACGTAAGGTTTTGCATATTCTCTTCTTGATTTCAGGTTCTTAAACAAAAATAAAACATTACATCTTTGATTAACGTTTTTTATATTATTAATAATACCGTAATCTTGAAATATATCATATTTTCCACCAATTACTAACAGTGGAACCGGAAATGGATTGATTGATCCTACATCAGGATGATCTTCTGGAAGTGGGTTTTCAATTCTGTTCTGATATAAACCATAGACCTCTTTCGATCCTTTACTTACCTGTGAGTATAAAATTTAAATGATTATTCAAAATTATACAATTATGTTTATACTATATTATTCATCGCTTTACTTCAATAGAAAGTGCCAATTTTAAAGAGGCAATAGTTTCTTCCATATCAGACCAAATACTTTTTGGTTTAGACATATCCAACATTAATACAATAGTCGTAGGAATAACAGTTTGCTTTGAAGAGGCCATAAATGGTACTTTTACTAGTGTTTCTGAAGATGTTCTAGATGCACCACCCAGCTCCCATATATGACATACCTAAACAAATAATAACATAAATATTTACAGTAAATTAGTCGTATTATTTCATAAAAATTTGTATACCTGTCTTCGCATATTTTGCCCTGCATGACTTGTTTTTCTCATGAACGAGTAATCTAAAGCCAGAGTTGGACGAATGGCTTCAGTTTTCTCCAAAAATTGATTTAGTAGTGTTGTTTTTCCCTGCAATTTGATAAATAAATATTTATACACAATAATCTTCTGATGTCGGGTAAAGTGATGAAGCAACTTACACAACATTTGCTACCAAGAATAAAAATTGATCTTTCATTGGGACCTTTGTTACTTTCAGTATCCTGATGATCTTTAACTATTTTTATTGCAATATCTCTTAAACTTTCATAACCAGCATCCATTTTAACCCAACACTAAGGTGTTTAATCGTCAACCATGTGTTTAGCTTTAGTTTCCATAGTTACAACTAAGTTTGTTTTGATGCTGAACTAAAATGAATATGCAGTGAAAGTGCTGCGACATATAAATTATATATTAAGCAGATTTTTAACAGAATCCATTTTTGTTGTTTAATTATTAAACAGCATTTTTTTGTTTGTTGAAACAAAACTGAAATATGAAGATAAAAATTCATTAAAGAACTAGCAAGTCAAATCTTACTAATTTATATTTACTGTATATACAAATAAAATCATAATAATTTACATCAGTTCATAAATAATTCCATCAAAATTTGGTCAAAAACATGGCAAATCACCACACAAATTTATACATATTGCACATATATGAAAATACATAAAGAATTATCTGTAAATATTTAATATATTATTTATTTAAAATAATGCATTCGAAATGTGCATAAAGTATTTAAATTTAGATTTTACAGAATCCTCAGTCTCACTCTCTCAACTTATGTATGTATGTATTATTATCACTCGATGAGTAAATGAGGAGGAGACAAACTGGTAATAAAACCAGAGTGGCAGCAATGGATAGATTGTTTGGAAGATTATAAACATTAAATATATACAATAGTTAAATAAAATTATTATAGAGATATACTCAAAATAATTCGGTAAAACAAATAATAATTTATGCTCTTGAATAATTCATAGCCAGACAAAAAAGCTGCCAGAGCTGAGAGCATTTGTATACTCTTACACTTGCACTTTCACATCTTTATTCTGTCAAATCACAGATCACAGATTATTGCAACCATATATCATCCATTGCACCATCAGCCAATTCTTCTTCAGATATAGCTTTTAACGTTCTCAATGTTTCTAAATAAAACATCAATTCTGAAGTAACTACACCGTGTTGCGGACTTCCATCATTTGTAATATTGTTACGTAACAACTGGTCCCTAAGTTTATCTTTAAAATTTCTATGTACTGTTCTATATAATCTGAAAAATTAAATTTTTATAAATGGCCATATCAGAGTACTGTAAATATTTATAACATTTTCAGAGATGTGATTTTTATTACCTATGGATTTGTGCGCGAGGTAAAATCGGTGCGATTGCTTCATGAAGTTTGACGAGATGCAAAGATATTTTTCTAAATGGTTTGGATGGTATAGGTGGTCTGGCATCCCATAAGATCAATTGATCACCAATAACTTTTGATACTATAGCCTGGATCTTATCAGAAATTTCCTGCACATGACTAATTAGATCACGTTCGACGGCCGCACACCAGGAGACGTCCGTGTGGGGCCGAAAATGTTCCCGGACGTACGGAAGTAACCATAATATAAGTTGGAGTGCCCTTGACACAAGCGCCAAGTTGGAACTTGTAATTGTTTTTAAACCAGCAACATGTATTGCACCTATTTTGTTGACATGATATTTAAAAACATATGTTGGTATCAAATACTATGACGCAATAAACCGCGATAAAAAAATTAAACTCACCGGCTCCCAAGACCAGTTGACAACATCTAGAATTAAAGCTTCGAAGTAATTCAGACAAATTCCTGCTGTATTGCTGAGACATCATTGGAGCCAGACGTTCTGAACTACGACAATATTCACTTATTATCTGTACAAGAAGCAATACTGTGCCTACCACAGCAAAAGGTTCTCCCGCCACCTTAAATAAAGTCAAAATTAACAAGTTAAGAGAGATAATTTAATGACTTATTAAATAGTTTTGGGTATAAAACTTTTAACGCTTTTGCTTTGCAATACAAATTAATTTATTTTTATTAACAAAAATTTAATAAAATTGCACAAGCAAGAGCATAAATTCATAAACAGTATCTTGCCTGTAATACTGGTGCTGGTTTAGAAGGTTCTGAGGTTGGTGTTGACCTTCCGCTGCTACCTCCACCACCATTGCTCAACGCACTTAAAGGATTTACATGAGCAAAAGATCCTGTACTTGATATACCATCTATTAGTGTCTGAAATTTGATACCAGTTTTGCAATTAATTAACTTGAAACTTTTATTTATTGCTTAAAAAAGAGTAACTTCCAATCAATATCTACTAAATCTGATGTGCATAAGATATCTGACCAGAGAAAATACTTTATTATTATTACCTGGAATTCAGAAGGAACTTCGGCTTGTTTCCATTGCTCACTATCTAAAAGCAGAGCCAATTTAGCCTTCTTATCCGTATGGAATTTTTGTACATATCTTGAAGCCTGGGCCTTAAAGGCTGCTTTCAAAGCAATGCACTCCTTGCCACAAATTTGTTCACATTGCTGAGTAAAGGTCGTAACAATTTCTGACAATCTGGCAATCTGTCTTATTGTAACAGTACTCTTGTCTAGGCTTTGATTGGTTACTAAATTTGCACATCTTTCATGACAATAGTCACAGACTGCATTTAATAAATCGCTTAATTTTTTTTCTACTGTTTCAAATTCTGATTTATTCAAAAAGGTTTCACTTTCAGAGAAATCTAAGCTATCATCTGGATCATGTTGCTTTTCTGTACTAGAGCAAGCAGTGTGAAACATAACATCATGCACAGCTTTTACCCTTAATACTAGTCTTTCTAATGTTAATGTTGCTGTTTCTAATAATGCTAACCATTCGCTTAATGACAATGTTTGTACCTGTTGCTCACCTGAACCAGTGAGACATATTTCTGCATCACTAGATGCTATTATTTCAATAACCATCTGTTTTACAATTGCTTTAACAGTAGTTATAGCTTCTTCTTTGTATGCATCAATAAATGTAAAATTTTTCTGTCTCAGTAATCCTGAAATCGTAGATATTAATTTATCTGAGTCTATCATTGAAGTGTTAAACTCTGTTAATGGCCTATTTAAATCAGCAGCTGCATATTTTTCAAATTCTGTGCTCAATATTTTGTCAATCAACCTTTCCATTTCAGTAAGCTGGGAAGGCAAATGTCTGAATGAATGAACTCCAGCTAATTCTTGGGATAAAATTTCTTGAGTAGTAGAAATTAAATCTAATGCAGCTACATAGTCTGGTGTACTTAGGAGCAATTGTATCATAGGTTGAGTTTGATGAACTGTTGACATTAATTTAAGTTTTTCTAACACTGAGGAATGATTACAACGAGATCTTTCAAAGCTTAGTATTTTTAATGAATCTTTGACTAGTGTAGCATCTATGTTTTGAATTTTACTGCGTATTGCCCGCACATTTGCTTCAGCATGGTTCATCTGTTCCATCATTGCATCATGAGAAGTCATAGCATGAAAAAATGCATAAGACTTCTGTGAAACTTGTTGGGCAATTTGCACTTCAACAACATCTAGATAATGACTTAATTTTTCTTGTAATAGACGCCCTGATCGACTTGCATTGTCAGGAGCATCTACAATGTTTGGATATATAGTATTAAAAGTAGTAGCTTCATTTAGTTTCAGATCCGGCTTGAGAAAAATATCTGGAATATCCTTTAATTTAAACACTGAAAGCTCAGAATTTTGGCTTTTAACTTTCAAAGTTGTCTCTAATTTTGAATTCATTAATTTGGAATGCTTTTGCAGTCTTCGTCCCACTTTCCTGATATATGGCTCAAAATTATCCCATGTTATTATAGGTAAATAAGGACATTTGGGTATCTCAGCAGTTTCAACAAATGCATCACCCCATATCTTAGTAAAAAATGTTGCTTGTTTACCTTTGTTAGGATCATTAAGTACTGCAGGTAAATTCTGTGCTGCTGAATAAACTGACCATTGTTCCTGATTCTTAGTAATTGGAGCAACATGATGTCTAGAGATATGTGTTTCATAATCTCTATCGCTTACCCCATCGAGAGGTAATGAGGGGCATACACCATTGTAACCATATCTACAGACATATGAGCCACCTTCTTTTGAACAATGTCTTTCCCTCAAATGTCTAAAATATAATAAATTTAGGATTACATCATATGAAATAGATTTAAATTAATAGTAAATTATAGAATGAACTATAAAGTATAAAGTTTTGAAGCAAAACTACAAAGAATAAGGTATTTAGTATAGTATTAACCGAAATGAAATATATAATAAATATTATGCAAGAATAAAAATAAAGGGCTAACCTTATGAAATCTGGTGGAGTTTTGAAATTGTGCAAGGGACAATAATGGCACGATTGCCATGCTTGGTATTCTTGATCCAAATCAATTTGCTTGGCCATGACATGTTATTTATTTAATTAGAAATTAACAATTTTATTAATTATAAACAAATCATTTTGACACAACCAATTTTATGTAAATTACACGTGTAACCTGCTATATCGACATGTGTCAAAACTAATTTTGAAAAGTCGAAGATAGATGGTGCTGTACAAGAGATAAATAAAAACAGCAACTGTCACTTTGACATTTGTAAGCAATCTTGAATAATTTATTAAATATTAGTAATAATAAAAATAGTAAAATATTTTAAATAATAGTTATGTGCATGGTGAAATAAATTTAGCAAAATGTCTTGCGAAATTTTGCCAATTGCAAAATTTACTAGTGTTCAAAATGTTTTAAGAAGTTTGCATCTGCCTGATAAATGTATGTGAATAAGTATACAAATAACAAAAGCGATAATTTGTGACTGAACAATTATTAAATATTATATTTTATTTTTTGTATACCTATAAATGTTATTCTTTTCAATATTTCAAGATGCTGAAGACTGGTTGAATAATAGCCTAATTTCAATATCACCTACGCAAGAGATAATAATTATAGCTTATGATATAACTTTAACTATACTTACTTCACGATGGGACTCAATCGATTCTCAAAATATATATTCTGTAAGCTGGTCAAATCAATTAGATCCAGTGTACCCAATTACAGCAGTGATGGCCTTACCATTAACAGATTTAGGAAAAGAATCGCAAGTAAATAATGATAATTACATTGCGCAAGGCGCTTTTTTCAATAGATATTAATAAATTGTTCTATTATAGGTTGGTACAGATTGGACTTGTATAATTGTTGGTTTTGCAACGGGTTATTGTAAATTTTTCACTGAAAATATGGGTTTGTTATTAAGTGTGAGGTTTCACGATGAACCTGTTATGCACATAAAATCTACCTGCAGTACTATTTCTAGTAGTAGTAGAAGAACCCACAATGAAAATTTATTAGAGGATGAATTGTACATTACATATCAAAGCAATGTTTCAGTTATCAACGCAAATGTTTTATTTCAAATTCTTTGCAATAATAGACAGGAATTGGCTAGAGGTTAGTATTTAGAAATAAATAGATTATTGATATATCTGCATATATTTTGAAGGCATATTGTTTTATAGCCCAAGGAACCTTTACTGAACCGAATCTTCTTACTGATTCATCATTATCACTTCGAAAATGGGGTTTTAGTGATCAAGGTCAGTTAGTTGATAGTGTAGTTGTTGGATTGACATCTGCAAATGTATATAATCATCTTCTCACTGCTTCAATTGTTGGTGGATTTCATTCAAGATATAGATCAGCAGCTCCAAAAAATACTTTAGTTTTAACTGCAGGTGCAAGGCCTTATCTTGGTTTTCAGTATGCTATGGAAGGCGGCTCACAGCCCATTTTTAGCGACATGGCTAAAGCAGTAGCCAGCAAATTAAAATCAGCTCTTCCGTAAATATATATTTATTATTTATAAACATTATATATTGCTTTCATAAATGATCACATTGTTTATGTTAATGTAAACATTATTAATTTATCAATAAAAATAATATTTACCTTCCAGGAGTTGGTTAACTGGGAGCCGCACTAGTGCTGAGCCAGTTGAACAACCACCTATCCCTGCTGAAGCCATGACTTGCCGTTTTGGTTTATGTGACTTTCATCGGAGAGCAGAATCAATAATCTTATCTCCAGATAAGCAATTTTCCGTCATTACTGATTCTCTTGGACGTGTAAGTTTAATCGATAACCAATTGGGCATTGTGTTGCGTATGTGGAAAGGCTATAGGGATTCCCAATGTGCTTTTCTTAATGTACTAGATCCAGAGTGTAAAAGCAGACGACATGATAGGCGCCAAGCCAGATACGCATTATTCTTAATTATATACCTTCCTAAGAAGGGCCTTATTGAAATTTGGGCTTTGCAGCAGGGTCCAAAAGTAGCATCTTTCTCAGCACTTAAACATGGGCGATTGTTTTACATGAATTATAATAAAGGAAGTAAATTGAAACAACAAACTAAATACTCTTGTATTTTTATGGATCCAGATGGAACACTCAAAGAATTTAATGTTCCGTTTCATTTTGCTATTGCTGACAAGGATTCAAAGAGAGCACGAGATATCCATCTGTTTCGCCATTTGAAAGCATTTATTAAATCTGGTAATTTTGATCAAGATAAATTGTCAGAAGAAATTTTGGGCACTATTAAAGAATTAAGAACAGTAGAAATCAAGGCTCAATTTATTGACATGTTAGTTGGTAATAGACATATATCTGAAAATGTATTATTACAAGCACTTCTAGAAATTTTGCCAGAAAAGCCTAGCGAAGATGAAGAACAATTTTGTCAAAAATGTACAAATTTAAAGCATTTGACTGAATTTTACATTTATGCTACAAATTGTGAAGAAAATCCTTTAAATTCAGAAAATGATAAAATTGAAATTGAAAGTAATGAAGAAGCTATTAAGCAGATTGATTCCAATTTACAACTTTCAGAACGAGATTTAAAACATTTGCAAGAGTTACTCAACTTGACAATAAATAAAGACAACAAAGTCGTGCAATCAAAAGTAACATTTAAAGAAGACAAAAAGCCTACATTTTCTATTTACATTAGTGCATTTGATTGCTCTGTGAGAGTACAACCAATTGCACATAATTCCGAAATTACTTACAATATAGCAGAAACTATATTTAATAAATTCATATCGACCAACTTAACGTTAGAAGAATGGGTAGATAAAGCAAATTGTAGTCATATTCCAACAGACTACTTTGTTAAACTATTGTTAATATTTTGGTTAAATCGGCCTCTAACACAAAATATGAACTTAGAACATGATATGAAAAAATTTGGTGAAATTTTATACGAAATTTGTAAATTGACCGGTTTTGATAACATTTGCACTGAATATAATGAAATATCTCCGTGGTGGGAAAATGTAAGAGAAATATTGATTGAGAGTCCATGTCCTTTTAAAGGGCTTATGGCAGCGATTTTATGCAGGCACATTGCACAACGAGTTGAACGAGATAAAGAACTTATGCGCGATGAGGAAGCTTGCGAAGAGATTTGGGAACGCGTATCTGCTGATAATTGTAAATGGTCATTATTGATAGGAAATTAGAAGATATTTCTTTATTGAACATAGTGTTAAATATGAAAAATATCGCATACGATCAACCTATCTTGACTAAATTGAATTATGAAGGCATTGATATTAGCCTTAAGTTTGTATTAATGGGAGGCAAAGGTATAGTTTCGGAATTAGTGTCTAAATGGCTAGCTAGTTACGGTGTTAATCCACAAGAAATTGTTGATAACGAATTGATCCATCTACAAAGCGTGAAAATAGCCAGTACACCAGAGAAATCTCCTGTCGAAGAAGTTGTGCCTAATGATGATACAATAGAACCCATAAAACCTATATTCGAACAATATAATTTATTGCATAAACAGTTTCCTTTTAGTTTGCAGGCTGTGGTAATTTTGTCAAATATGGCCTGGGAGTATTCAGAGAATTGGAAAAAAAATTTAGATGACATTAGATCTTTAAAATCGGCTGTGCAATGCCTTGATTGCCTGTGTAATGTTCATCTTAAACATGGAGTTTGTGCATTGATGTGGTGTATGCACATACGTTCTGTATTTGAGGCAGTTTGCCGAATGTTAAACAAAGCTGGAAAATTACCCAAAGACAGATTATGCAAACAAGAAACTGGCCTAAACGATGGACAGGTTATAGAGTTTCTGGCAATAACCATTGAATTTATAGCGATATTTATGAGAAGTATACAAAAGTGCTATGATACAGTAAGAGAACCTTTGAAATACGAAGACTTGTGGGAAGATAATTCATCACCTTCATTGTCTCAGCTTGCTATGCAACAGACAAAATCCAATTACGAATTGCTTCTGTTACATTATGAACTCGCTTCAACAATGCACATGTTAACATATTTTAATACAGTAAGATTTATGAAACCGTTAGTGCATTTGTTCGATAATTTTGGTCAACAATCATTTTTTGTTGACTTGAATACCAGACCACAATTACCAGCGCACGCGCCCGACCAAAAAGTGTTAAACGCAAGAATATCCTTTTTAACGAAAATAATATCGGCTTCTATCGATTTAATCCATAAGAACGACAATGGTACTATATATTCAAGCGATGCTTTTTCCTGGATGGAAAAAATTAAAGATTTAGGAGCACTTTGGAGCATAGAGCAAGATATTTTAGTTAGACATCAAGTTTTAGAATTATTTCGACGTGGTTTTGATGGATTAGCTGAAGACATGCTGGGTACCCTTGCCAATATTGATAATCTTGGCCCAGAACTGTTAGATGTTGCAGGAAAACAATTGCGATTATGGTTAGAAAAAATCCCTGAAAAACGAATAGAGGTTGCCGCATTAGGGCCGATTTTAACGTCGTATTTAGATACTTTAGAGGTAAGATTACAACTTTGCATTACCACAATATCAGAAGGTAAAATAGTGTAAATACATTTTGTTTCAGATAAAAGACCCAATTACAATTGAAAATAAAGCATCTGTGATGATTATAGCTACCCATGCCTTACGCTGCTTTTCAGATGAGAACAGCAAAGAGAGAAGATTAGTCGCTCTTATTGTGGATGCTGGTCATCTGTTATTAGATGATGATTGAAGAAATATATTTTGAGTAATGGAATTTGTTTGCTAGCATTTATTTTATATGATTGTAGTTCTATAGAGTGGTGCTCATTGCATGTAATATACGTAGGTATGATTTGTAAAAATATAGATCGATTTATATATTGTTATAATTGTTATATAGTGTTATTTATATGTTTTATATCTATAAAAGTATTTAATTAAATCGAAAATTATGAAAAACGAAAAATAGAATCTTTTAATAAAATATTGTAAAATCCATGTCAGTCGTATTATTTTATTCATATAAAAAATGTGCGATTTGTGAAAAAATATTAGTATACTGATTTATGAAGAAACCACAAATATATAAAAAAATTATTAAACACTTGATATAATTAAAAATATTCGATATAAGTTTTATTTTAACTATTGCAATAGATTTATAAAATCCAAATACTATTTTCTATTTACAGACTGCGTTTTTTCTTTGTTATTAAACCGCCACAATAAAATGTTCGATATTTGAGATAATACAGTTGATAAAGAATGATAGACAAAAATAAAAATATCTGACATCAATCGTTACCAATATGTTGATTGCCTTCGACATCATCTTCAATTTGCACATTGGTACCTTCTGCCTCTGCTTGGGCCTGCAACATTTCTTTATTCCGTTGGTTTCTCCATGTTATAATTACTTCTGGAGTTGGAGGACGAAGTCTATGTCTCGGCTCATGGATTTCTAAGTGACTATACACTGGTATCTGTAAGAAGAATTTAATAAATTGCCATTGAATAAAATATAAACAATACGTTAATCATTTTAAAACAGACGTAAGGTAAAGAAGTATCCAAAATAGGTTTGTTGCGTAGTTCTCCTCGTCTTGGCAATTGGAAATGACTTCCTAGTATTGGTTCTTGCAAGGGCTTTCCATAAATACGCCTCTTGACTAACTCATCTTGTTTCAAATTCACATCTTTTCTGCGTATTGAGGACTCATATTCCATATCGAATTCACCTTTGCCACCTCTCAACACCTAATGAGAAACAAAAATATAATTATATTCAGGCGCATATAGTGCTTTAGATATTTAATACGTTGTTTTAATTCAATTACCTTCAAAGTAGTAAAGCTTCCACTACGTTTAATATCTGCTGGAAGCCTGAAGGGAAATTGATCGGGTAAGGGACCAACTTCTGGGATTGGAGTCCAAGGTTTACACGTTCCCAAGGTATTGATGTACCGTCCAGCCAAAGCCCAAAGTCTTACACTTCGATCGCTACTTGATCTGAAAGTAGAGTAATGATTTATATTTCTATAAATAATTCACATATTATTTGCTGAAGAATTACAATTGACAATAATAAAAGTCGGGAAGTAATAAAATAATAAGTTCAAATCATTTTCACGCGAGTTGCATCCTTCCGCTGTTTTTCGGATTTATTAGATATTTTCATCTGAATATATCGATAGTTTGAATTATTCTTTATTTTTATATTATTAAATAATCATACGTAATAATAATTTGGTGTTCCGGCATATATACACAACACAGTAACGTGCTTTTGTGGGCTTGAAAAGAATTAACCAGCAAAGGCAACGGTTGCAATCTGATACTTCTCTTGGCACGTCCTTCCAGGCGATCACGCCACAAAAATGGAAATTTCAATCGCAATAAAGGTACACTGACTCTTTTTGGAGGAGACTCTTTATTGAAGTAGCTGCGAAATAAATAATTATTATTTTAAAAAATTAAACAAAATAATTATAAGCATTTTATAAAATCATTTAATTTCTGCGTACATTTTCTATTACTACATGTAATGTAGCGCAAAGACCCAAAGTATACTAAAGCATAAAATACGAAGTCACGAATTGACTGAATATTATGATTTTTATAACTAGACGAAGACAACTGTACGTCGTTTGTCGTGATCGCGTGCTTTCCCTCGATCTTACTGAAAATCATAATCTTTAAGTATATTCTAAAATTGTCTCATCCTGAAACACGCGATCAATCTAATCAAAAAGTTATGTTTTATGCGATATATTATGAAAAAAATCATATTTATTCATTTTCATAAAATAGAAAAAATACTCAGACTTTAAAAATTGGACAAAATAATTGATAAATAAAAATGATATATAATTTTTATAACGATATCAAATAATATATACATACCCGTAGTTCGTCATCAACCATATTTTTAATTGCCCCATTGTAGTACCAGTAAATAGAAAATCATTGTCAGGATCTGTAGTCATACAAGCCACATAGTCACCTGAAAATATAATATATTATGACGTACAAAATTAATTCGTATTAAATTATTGAGTTAAAAAACAAACCTGCCGAATGTATAGCATTAAAAGAAGTCTTGAAACCACCAGTTGGATGGTGTGACCACATTTGTACAGAGCCATTTTCCACTGATAATAACATTGATCCTAGAAAATATTAAATATAAATATTAAATACATTATAAATATAAAATAAAATTATATATGAAAATACCTATGTCTGGATGCATAGGTCTTGCTTCTAAAAATACCATCGCGTGCACAGATAAAGACTTATGGTGCTGTATTGCTTTAGGCATTTTCACTACAGAGATTTTTCTTGCGTATTTGGACTCTTGTGTTTTTTTTGCCCCGGTCATAACTTCTGGAGCAGTATCATGGCCAATTACACTATAAAAAATTATTAGTAAAAAAAGAAATTTAAATATAAAAATCTAATATCGATTACCTGATGCGTTTATATGCACTGAAAGATTGTCTGTTTTTATGTCGTTTCTCGTCACCAGGGGCTGTTGATCCATGTACTTTCAAAATACTTGAAGTTTGATTCTTTACTCCTCGTTTAGCACTTTGTTCGCGTTTTGCTCCAGTAGCACCCGCATCTGCTGTCATCGACTGAGACACCTCAGGAGGCATATACACAAGTTTTATACGTCCAGTCGGATTTGCAACATTGTACCGTCTTCAAAAATAAGAATGCTGAATCACAATATACTTATATTTTAGATATTTAATAAAATATAGTTGTACCTATATGCTTGTCCAGTCTCGAGCCGCCAAAATATTAGCTCGCCGCTGTACGAACTGGTAGCGAGAGCCTGACCAGCTCTGGTGGCTGCACAAAGAACGTCTTCGGCATGCCGCAACTCCCATTCCTTAGACCCAGCTGCGGCAACTTCGTCTGCAAATTCTGTCACGTGCCGATTCCAACCAATAGCAAGTAATCTGAAAAAAAAAACTATTATATTTTATTCTTTATACACGTTTTAATCATTTTTTTATACCTGCCGGTTATCCAAAAGACTGCTGTAACTTCACACATAGTTTCAATGGCCATGTTACGAAGGCAAATTCCGGTATTGAAATTCCAAACCTAAAAGTAATATTAAAAAAATATCTATGTAGATTAATAAAGACAATTTACTCACTTTTAAGGTTCCATTTCTTGCACCAGTCAATAACATGTGTTGTTGTGGGTCGAATGTAGCTGCTGTGATTTCAACAACTATTGTTTCACCATGAACAACAGTTGTATGAGCACCTTTCACCAGGCAAATGCGCTTACCTCAACATAACAATTAAAATTAATGTGTCATCCAATATCATAATCAAATAGACGTATTGCAGCAAATGATTATTTTAGTTAATTATTATACCTATCCAAGGATCCCAAGTGATAATGCAGCTATCAAGTCCGCAAGTTATAATATATTTGAACAGACTGTTATATAAACATATTGAGACAGGTTTCGTATGAGTGTATCCATCTGTAGCAGATTCATCCAACAAAGGATCTAAAAGCAAAGTTGCTATTCGCATACCTCCCACCATCAGTTCCCTGGTCAACGGATTGTATAGTGTTGTCATAGAACAATGTTCTATCCCCATGTCGGCACATAGTGTTATGTAAGTCTAAAACAGAGAAAATACTAATATTATTTCTAATATAAAATTTTAACAATGTAGTACACTTACTTGCATGATTGTTTGCGCAGGAACATCCCATACTTTAATAACTTTATCCTTGCTCATTGAATACAATTTGTCGTTCTGAAGGATTACCATGATTATTCCAGCATGGTGCCCCTATATTCATGACATAAATTATGTAAGAAGCGCATTGAATATTCTCGTAGGATTTTTTAAAATGTTGTATATACCGATAGCATTGTGTTTGGTTTTGATGGAACAAATACATTCCATAATCTTATTATGCAATCTAAACCTCCAGTAACCAGCATATGACTGACATCGTCGAAAGTGAAAACAGTGGCTCCTCTTGGCATACGAAATTGATAAGGCGGTTTTACTCCCATTATATCGCTGATGCTCAATCCTGGTGGCCCGAGAGTAGGTCCTGCTGGTAATTCGCAGCAGGAGATGAAGCAATGTAGGGGTTCATAAAGGCCAACTTGACGTACTGTGTCGACGTGAACATTTGGAAAAGCAAGAACTCTCATGCCTTTAAAGTCACCCTAAGATAGAAACATAGATTTTGCCGACTTTGAAGTATATTAGCCATGTTTTAATTGTTTCTAAATAAAAATATTCATTATCATACTTTTGCCAAAGTTTCGTATCTCACAACTTGCAAAGATTTTCCGGGACTGTTCTGAAAGGGACCACGCATTACTGGCGAAAATAGAAATATCCTTACAGCTCCAGAGGTATCGCCAGTGACTAAAGTGTTTTCTGAATCCAATGACTGATAAAACCTATATTGAGCAAATTATTTTTAATTAGAATACGTATATTTTAAATAAAAAATATGGAGATGATATAAGAATCAATATGCGACAGTAATATTAATGGTTTACATAATTAATTGTAAGTAGGATAAAGTTAACTATTACCTATAGAACATAGCACTTATTGGATGTGGAAGACTATCAATAACCACACGAACCGTAAAATTTCGCGCTGTTGTGTCATAAAATCGCAATTCACCTTCTGTAGATGATGTACATAAAATGTTCAAATCAGGCAGACATACCATATCCAACACCCACGTAGGATGGATCTTTGGTTGTACTTTACAAAAATAAATGTAAAAAACCATTATATAAAAAACTTTTTAATCTTAAAATTTAATAAATTAGTATTATTATAGTATGTGAGTCCTAACCGCTCTTCGATTTCGCACTACGATGTTTTTCCATATCTAAAGTCCACCAGTTACAAGTACCATCTCTACTGCATGTTATGTAACTTCCTTCTGAATAACTTGTTGTTCGGTCCTGAAAATATTCACTTCGAAAATATTGTCGTTCACAGCAAAAATAATAATAATAAGAAAAACAGTTTTCCTTACTGGCATTACTGTAGGACAATATTGAATTCGTATTACAGGCAAACGGTGATGACTGTTAATAACAACTGGGTGACCTGTTATTGGCTGCTGCATGGTCTCTTTTTGATTAGAGGGGTCATTATTTTGAAAGCCCAACAACAAATACGAAACAAATTCATCCCACGATGCAAGATTATCACGATTAGAATTGATCTGAAAATTACCGATTATTTTCACGTAAAACTCATCAAGAATAAAATAAATAATTTAGTTATTTGACCTTTGAAAATAAAGTTTCAAATTGATCGTCTGTAAAATAACAGCCAGCAAATTCGCCCAATATTCGACGAAGTTGTTCCGAGGTTGCTTTTCCGTCCGGTATTTTTTGAAATAAATTATATAATTTTGTCAACTCTTTTTCAGTTAATCGTTCGTGCAGAGCTACAAAAATATATACAAAAATTAAAATAGAGAATTTTTAAACATATTCAGATTTTCACATATATATGTACTATGTTTTTACAGAAATAAATTAAAATATTTAACTAAATTACTACAAATAACCTAAATTTTGAAACTCTTCTATGGGTTCTTCAGCTTTCTCCTCTTTCTTTCGAACAAATTTAAATAAGCTTTCCATATTAATATACTTTGAAATTAATCTTATAAAAGTTATCAAAAAATCAGGAATACAAAAAAAACGTTTCGATTCAAAAAACACGTGAGTGGAATCGATCGCTCTGACGCTGTCAAGGCAACAGAATAAATGTAAACAAAATATATTTGACGTTTAAGTTCTCATTTAAAATAATATATTTTGTGTAAAATCAAACAAGACATTAATATATATTATAAAGAGTAAAAGAAACATGCAAAAACTACTAAATATGCGAATATGCGAAATCAAAAGCATGCAAAATCTACCGGTTAAGTTCTTAACTTAAACTAGGGGTATCAAAAATTAGTTTAAATTTATTATTAACAATTATAATGGATCCTTTGTTCGAAGCGATAAGTTTATTGCAACGTCGAAATTATGAGAAATGCATTGAGAGGTGTAACATCATTTTGGAGAAAAATTCGAATGATGAAGCTGCTTGGGTACTAAAAATGAGAGCAATGACTTTACGGTAATGAAGATTATAAAAATTCATTAAAATTGTAAATAAACTTATAAATATATTTTAAACATGATTGATTTATGTGGTTGTAAGGTGGTATATGAAAAAAACAGAGTTTTAATTCTTGAAACATTAGTAATTTTACATAGAGATATAATGGTAACATAAATAGGACATTTCCTTATCACTTCCTGATTATTACAGAGTTTATATAGACGATTTAGATGCTGATGATGGTGGCTTACCAGATAGTGAACTGGATTCGGCCGCTATTGCCGACGCACCTCGTCCTGGTACATCTCTGCGGGTAACCTCAACAGCTGGTGCGACTGCAAACCTAGCCCAAAGAGCCGCGACGTCCTCGACTGCCAGACCGAGAACATCCACTGGTCGACCTATTACCGGAATGGTAAGAAGACACATTAGAAAAGAATAAAATATCAATAAATAATTATTATTATTACCTAGGCGCGATTAGACACGATGGGATCTCGTTCCAACACGTCAGGGGGTGCGAGATCTTTGACGGCCGCTCTACGTACAGCCAGAGGCACTACTGGGTCTGCAAGATCCTTAAGACTTGGCACAGCATCTACATTAGCTCTTAGAGATGGAGGACCTTTAATGGCACAAGCTACAAGGTTAAATGTTGGACGATACGCAGGCGACGGAAAAATTGCCAAGCCGCTCTTTGAGTATTTGTATTACCACGAAGGCGATACTAGAAAGGTAATAAGAATAAATTTTTAATATATAAATGTAAAATATAATTTTTTTAGGCGATGGATCTTTGTGCACAAGCATCTCAAAAGTGTCAATTTTCTGATTGGTGGTGGAAACTACAATTAGCCAGATGTTATACACAACTAGGGCTGCACAGAGATGCGGAGCGCCAGTTGCGCAGTTCTTTAGGTCAGGGTGCTCCTATAGAAGCAGCGTTGCTTTTATCAAGAGTTTATGTGAAAATCGGTAACACCCTTTTGGACTTATCTAATACATTCTATTGAAATATGTAATTAAAGTTTTTTTTTATTATTTGGTAGATCAACCATTAAGTGCCTTGGCCGTATGCAAAGCCGCTTTAGAGAAAGGCCCTCGAGAAGTTGCATTATTAACGGAACAAGCAAGAGTCTTAGAAGCTTTAGACGATTTATCAGCATCAGTTGTGATGTACAGACAGGTAAACACAGGTTTAAAATTCATAAAGTATTAAATTAATGCGTTTTATAAAAAATATTTTAAGATTATGATAGAAGATGCAATGAACACCGAAGCTTTAGCATGTGTTGCCGTTCATCACTTTTATAATGATCAACCGGAAATTGCTTTAAGATATTACAGGTACGAACATATTATTATGCATGATATTGGTTTATGGGAATATAATAAAAATACTCATTATCTCAATACGTAAAAAACCCATAGGGTAATCACGATTCTGGCGTGTGTTAAATGTTTTGAACTTTTTAACCTTTTGTTATCAAATATTTCAGAAAGTAATTAAAATAAAAACGAAATTATCGTTAGACAAAATGATTTATAAATATATTCCATATGGAAAAAAATACTCGTGATGTGATAATAATCATAAAAATTATTATTCTACATATACATGATATTTGACTTACTTTTGCGTGTGTTAGTAAAATATTTTTTTTATCAGGAGGATACTGTCGATGGGTGCATTAAGTGCTGAATTATTTAATAATTTAGCTCTTTGTTTTTTATATTCAAGACAATTAGATTTAGTTCACAGCTGCTTTCAACGAGCTTTGCAAATGGCCACAACGCCCGAACAGCGCGCGGACGTCTGGTACAATTTATCTTTTGTAGCCATGGTATGATCATAATTTATTTATGCACATTTATATACATACAATAATTTTTACTACAATTTTTACTTAATACTTTTTATACATACCATGGTTAGTAAAAATTTTCTTTCCCACAGAATTCGGGAGATTTGGGCTTGGCGCGTCGATGTCTCCGGCTTACGATAGGATGCAATGCGGCGCATGCCGCTGCGCTGAACAACCTCGCCGTCTTGGAGCAATGGGGCTACACGGGACAAACTGAATCCACCGGCCGACTGAGGGGACGAGCTAAGGCATATATGACCAGTGCTATTGCACTGGAACCAAATACACCAGAAATACAACACAACGCTGCTATGTTTCATTTAGTTTAATTTGATAGACTTATTCTTGGATAAGCTAACAAAATTAAAGGAAAATCACTATTCTGGGTGCATTTACCCGATGTCTCTTGCATTATTTTTTTGTGAAACATAAAAAATTATAAAGTTGTTATCTATATTTTTTAAACGCCCGATAAATCAAAACAGCAATCGTTTTTGAGACTAGATCTAGTTCGAATTATCCAAAATATATTAAATCTTACAATATATCTCTATAAAACTGTATCGTATATAAAGGTTAGTAATCGAGAAGAGTGCATTCAATAGTGTTAATTAGAAAAGAAAACTTTTTATCAAAGGTAAAAAGGTTACTAGTTTTTTTGAACAAATAAAGAGGTTACTAGTTTTTTTTATATTTTATTAGAGATTTTATAAAGTTACAAAAGTTAGATAAGAATATTATGAGTCAATGGTAAGAGAGTATAAAATTGATAGTTTAGTATAGTATATGTTACTAAATATATATCTTATAATTTGTATGTTTTTGTTAGATTTTGAAATAAAGAAATGTGAAAATTTACTGAAGCGCAATATTATTTCTTATATGATAAAAAATAAAGATTTGCTCAGATCACAGGATGAACAAGAGATGTGGGAGGGAAATCTTTGGCATGCGTATATTTTAATATACCTTGGGTAAATCTATATTTTTACCCAAAATATATCAAAACAAAGATTTAATTAGATCCATCGAACATATTATAAATCAACTAGCCATCACCGCCAATCTTACGTCAACCTCCCTCGAAATTTTCAACTCGGCGCACTTCATACAGGCTTTCGTCGCCAATTCACTTAAATCGATGGTATCTGCATCACAAATAGCTTCGTGGAACATCGAAAAACCAGCTGCAAATCCTCTCGCACACTTACCGCAATTTGATTCATGACCTATAGATGGGATCATACCTTCTAACCAGAAATGCATAGTATCTGCTATATTTTTGCTTTTATTCCAAACATGGCTCAAATAATTTGGGAAAAATGATGATGAGGATTCAGAGTTTGTTGCTAATGGGGTAGCGCTGACTGTTGGATCTGTTTGCAAGGTCGGGACATTGTTTTTAAAGAAAGATTGTAAACGGAAACACCAATCAACGACGACAAAAGTAGCTGCGTTTGTTGGAAATGCACGAACTAATGTAGATGTAAGTCCGCGGAATAGAAATTTGTGGCCTTCCGCAGCATAACTCTTGCGCAAACAGTCGATTGCTCCCGAGTATCTGAAAAATAATTAGTTAATGATTAAACTATTGAATATTTTATCAATATTATTTTTTATATTTTACTTTGGATTTCCGCTCATGCCATCAGCTTGCACTCTACTTTTGATAACATCTATAGGGAAAGTAACAGCCCAAGATACAACACCAGCAAAACCGCCAGCGAACAAAGTTCTTGCTGTTGACGGAGTGATCGTTTCTCCTTCTTTTACCGAAGAGCGCATCAAAAATTCGTAAGTCAAAAAATAACTAGCAAAAGCTGGACAGTCACGGAAAGCTGTTACACCAGTTCCTCGGAATAGTCCTCGCATACCTTCTGTTTTGAAAATGTGGCCCATGAGTTGAAGTGGTCCTCGAAACTGAAAAAAAGATAATAAAATTTTTATTTAAATTATGATATATGTTATAAAATTCTATTTTTTACCTGTCCTGCTCCAGATTGCAATTGAAGTCTAGTTTTGGCAAGTTCCATCGGTCCACAGAATATGCTCTGTGCAAATCCTGCGGCAGCTCCAGCGATCGTATGGGACATCAGAGATGAAGGGTCGTTCATAGACCTCTGAGCGTTTCCATAAACTCCAAATACAACGGCATTAACAAAAGCGATACCACCCATTGGACTGGTGACGCCGCGGTAAAGACCTCGAACGGAGTCCCTGGCGAGGATCGTACGGAAACAGTGCATGGCCCCCCGGTAACGAGGGTTGGCCGAGTCTTGTGTCTGCAGATGGACCTTGACGGTGTCGAAGGGGTGGCCGACCAGAACGCCGGCACATCCTAATAAAATAAATGAAGAAAACATTACTAAAACAATACTGGGTAATAGAATGACTCATTGGTAAAGAAAGTTCAAATAAAGAAGTATTGTAGCACCTAAGGATTTTTGATTATGAGAAAGTAACAAATTCAATTTTTATCACTGTCTCTTTTAAAAAATAATCAGAGGAGTGAACTCTAATGCATAAAAGTAAATTTACCATGATTAGATTTACTATAAAAACATAGGAATTAAAGAGTTCCTATGCATCATTAAAGGACTTGATGGTAGAATAAACAAACAAATATCTATAATTTGAATTATTTAAGGATAATGTAGAATATTATTTAAATATATATTTTTGGTAAATGTTTCAAATAAAATGATCATTTTTCCTTTATAAAATATAGTGACACAATTAAACTAACGAAGTATAAGTATCTTGAGTAAGAGAAATTTCATGACGCAAATGATTTGAACGCAATTTCAAATACAATCGCAATTGTGAATGTGTAAGTAATAACTCAAATAATAAATATAACGTTTTGAATACATTTAATCAATCATTTCCGAAGCAAATGTACAAAATGCGACTTTGGTTCAAATTGAATACATGATGAATTTGATAAAGGGTCATCTGGGTTATCGACTAAGTCCAGTTTGTGCAAAAGCTAGTTAATTACATCGAAAAGCGTACGCAGATTTCGCAATTTATAAATGTTAGAAATTTAATTGCCTATTACGATTACACCTTAAAAAATTACATAGAAAAGGTCAAATGTTACTAAATCCTTTAGTTCCAAACTTACCTCCAACACATCCTGCTGCAAAATCAGCTGCCATTATGAAACTGTGTTGAACAGGTGGAAACTTTTATAAATCACACAAATTTGGATGTACTTAAACTAATATAAGATTTACTAATGAAAGTAATAAGAGTAAATGATATCTTTTGAACTGATTGATTGATCAATTGTGTTCTTATCCTGTGATTCTGAAAAGTACGAAAAAAGTTAAAATTAAAATCCTATATATGATGCATCCTTATTGCTATTTTAAGGAAATGAAAAAAATGTATTCCCTGCTTGAAAATATAAATCAGACTTAATATAAATTAATATTTTTTTTTCATATATTTATTACTTTACTAAATTGCCTAAATGATTAATATCTATGTATGTAAATATTAATTTATATTTGAAAATATAATCCAGTTGTAATATAAATAGTTATTATAATTAAATAATCTTTCTGAGTTATCTGTTTGAAATAAAATCCGGTTCTAATATAAATATTTATTATGATAAATAATATTTTTCCATATTTAACAATAATTCCTATCAAACAATTAAAATATTCCACACAAGAATAATTGTTTATCTTAGGAAAATATTGTAATGCATACTTTTATCATATAAAATATTGTAATTTAATAGATTTATTTATAGCTTACCAAATTTATATTTAAAAATCCGTTTGGTTAAAATGATCACTTATATACCCAATTATAATCAATGGAACAAAAATTAATAAAAAAAACTATAAATAATAACTAAAACCCAACTAACACAAAAAATAAATATATAAAACACTTAAACAAAAAAGGTTACGTATAATTTTGATTTTGAGCATAATTCATAGTATCAAATTTAATATTATCATTCATTTTGATGCAGTTTAGTTGTATTATTTATTTATTTTTGCAAAAAGACAAACAATGCACAAAAATACAAAGATTAGAAATTTTAAAATAAAATATTTAAATATTTTTGAACACTGTCTTCGATTAAGACTTGGTGAATTATGTTAAAAATGTTGAAAGTCGTCAAATATAAATAGCAAATATAAATTTTATCTTTTGCAAATCCGGCCAATTAAAAAAGCTTCGAGAGCACGTTTGTGTCATGCGTATTTTATTTGGAAAATTTAACCCACAGGTTAACTGCTCAGTCGCAAATTTGTAAATAAAATCATTTTGAGAAATAAACTATTATAAATACATAAACTTATATTACGCACACGAATGTAATTATTACGATACAAAATACGTAATCTGATAAATATTTATAAACATCTTCTGAGTTATATATCGGATTCTACGCAATTTATTCGAAGTTGGTTAAAATGGATAGGTACCTTTGAAACTTTGAAAAAATAAAACTGCCAAAACTTTGGTTAAAAATCCGTGGATAGATATCTTTGAATATCTCATAAAAATTTACTAATGGGTGCATGGCATCGTGCCTTAAGGCAAATTGCTGGAACTTCCCGTACCGTAATTAAAAATCTTGATACGGAACCCAAAAACTACACAAAATGTGTACACATTATTAAAATCTTTATAAAATATCTGATAACTTGATCCAACATTTTTGACCGCCAAATGATATTTTTTAACTTATTTTTAATGAGAGTCCATAACCGCTGGACCTGCCTTCCTAAAAATTTGAACAGTTCTTAAACTTGTCAATACAAGTAAAATGTTTTTTGAATTATTGAAATTGGACGCTCCGTTCTCTTAAAAACTGAGTTACCGTTTTTGGCACTTTTTGCCCCGTATCTTCGAAACGGTTAGACCTGCTTATGCCAAAAACTAATCAGCACGTTCTTTTATTAATAGGAATCGAATGTTTTTTGAATAATTGAAATCGGTTGAACCGTCGACGAAAATTTGTATCCGCACACACACACATACACACATACATCATCTTTTTCTAAGGTATGCTAAAATGTTCAGAAACTTTTGAAACGTAAAGATATATAAAAAATTTCATTTTCGATTTATTGCGATTACTATAACTTGCCCTACGGGAAGTTAAAAGAGCAAAAACTTTGTTTAAAACTCCGTGGATAGATATCTTTTGAATAAAATAAAACAGCGAAAAGTTTATTAAAAATATTTTTCATAAAAATATAATAATAATTCTATTACTTACCTGAACAAATCTTTGGAAAATATCACCGAATATCATCCCAATCCGACAATCCTCAAAGTTTTTTTTCTGCTGGGATTATGTAAAAGTTTCATTATATCCTAAATATTGATAATCCTAACAAAACTGAGTTCAACTTTGTCTCAAATAATGTACACAAAACTTTGTTCAATATGAAAACTTTCACTATTACTCAAACAAAAACGGAAGAAGAGTATTTGTTGTATCCAATTATTAATGGAGTTGTCAACACAGATCCAATATTATGACTAATTATGATAAAACCTAGGATACGATGATCTTTCGTGATAGTTTTCATTTATCTCCAACTGGGTGATCAGAAAATATTAAAATTCACAGAATCCATTATGCACATATATAATAAATTATTCCCATATTTTTTTAGATTTAGTGATCTCAATATTTTAAAGTTCCTTGATAGATTGATGTTCTGTAAATCTTTTGTCTGTGTCAAAATTTCTTTGCCTATCTGTAATGTTAAAACAACACAATATGTAAACTAACTTTGTACTGTTTACTTTAAAAATGATTATACGCATGTACGAAATAAAATTTAAATGTAATTTGATATAAAATTATAAGTAAATTTATTTAATCATTCATAATTAAATTTATTTCACCAAGCATCTTAAAATCTATTTTTTTTTTCAATAAGAAAAATTTTCTTAGAGAATTTTCTTTGAACCCAAGTTTTATCCTAAAGTTGTTTCATTATCTTCCAGTAAGAGAAGGAAAAATCCAAGTTTTTGTTTTAACCAGAAAATCCGCTTCGCTATTTTTTCCCCAGCGTATCAAGTCATTCTGTATCGTTTGATAGCAAAATTAAAAAAAAGTTTTAGTGTATATAAACCGAAATTTCGACGTTTTCTGAAAAACAGTTGCACCGATTTCAAAAATTAAAAAAAGCCATTTCATACAGCTCGATAAGGATTCACTCCTAAATTAATATATTAATTCCTGTCTTAAGGCAAAATGCCACTTTCACCAAATTCCATTTCATAATTATTATTTTATTTTAGATCGCCTTATAAATTAGCAATAAGGTCAAAATATAATCGCTGGACGTTTAAGGGTTATCGAATGGAGTGTGTAAGGAAAGATACAGGTCAATATGTGATAATTTGAAGATCATTTGTATTGTAATACATCAATGTCAGAATTACATAGAGTACATAAATTATATATTTTGAAGGACTTTATGGCTTTGTACCATTTTCTAATACTTGGGGCAATAACCTATCCAGAATAAAATAATCTACAGCAATAGTAGATAGATAGTATAATACAGATTTGCTTTACACATAATGACTTTAACTTTAGGAATCCTCGTAAATTCTAACTAAAAGTGCAAACTCATTCCATATAATATATAATAATATTTTAGCAATAATTGTATCAAAAAGTTACCAATACTGCTTAGCAAAAAATTTGGTTTTAATGGGATTATATAAAATGATTGCTTTTATTTTAATATATTATATTTAGATATCGAGATAAATATTTGGTCGATTATATCTAGTGTCTTATTTATGTATAATTGTTTTTTGTAAATAAATTGATTATTTGGTGACCCCGACGTGATCAACTCTAATTATTTTTTTTTAATTCTTGGCCACCTCTGCTAAGTGTTAACAATCGCAATTCATTAAGATCACATTCCAAGTTCTTATAAACATCATTGAAACTTAATTCCATACACTTGTAATACATACAAGTTTATTCGACCGCGTTATATAAAAGCCATTAATTAAAGAACGCTAATTTGCATCGTGAGCGAATGACAGAAAGCAACAATTCATTTGAACAAAACAGATAAAATTAAATTATTAAAATAAAAATATCCTTTCATATATACGAACATTTTCATATCCATTGTTTACAACAATTGCGATAAGAACGTTGAAAATCGTTCGTTTCGTATTACTTCTGGTAATAAATTTTAATATGAGTATTGGTAATAAAATACTCTTATATAAAAAATGTTGAATTGAAAAACCATGATAAATTGCTGTTTTTATTTATTAGCCGTAAAATTTAACCTATAATTAAAATATAACCATAAAATAGCAAATAAAATGTCTGGCAGTTAGAAGTTAAAATTTCTATAAGTAGTTTTGAGTAGATACTATCTTGTATATTAAATTTATTAATTATACTTTTTTTATTATTTATATTTATATATAAATATTTCTGCATTACAAATTAGCAACAGCCGATGTTGTGCTCGTAGATTTTTCAACTTAATTCAACTAAAGCTTTAATAAATTTTTATAATAAAACCATTTACCATTGGCATCTAATAGTATTGTTATTAAGCCTATGAACTTTATCGACATACAAAGTTCCATACAAATCGCTTCAAAAAAATTAATGAGTTACAAAAAAAATAATGAGCGCGATACTCAAATGATATATTTCGTGGTTTTGCAATTTTCAAAACCGGTTCAATTTTTTTTCGAAAACATGCGCAAAAAATCACATAATATCAGGTGGGGAGGAGGAGTAGTTATATATCAGCTGTATTTATTTTTTACCCGAATTTTTTAAAAAAATACAAAATATCTTAAAAATTGAACGATTTTTTCTAGGAACTAAAAACTCAAGTGATGTTGGGTGGGAGGGAGTAAATTTTATATATTACCAAGGAGGGGTTAAAAAATTCCTTGAAATCGATCACTTGATTAATTGCTTAGGTTTGTTGGGGTAGTTCCCACCAAATTTCATCGAATGGCTTTTACATTTTTGAAACCGGTTTAACAGTATTTAGGAAAACGTCGACGAAAAGTCAAATTTGGGCTTCTTGCACATACACCAATCATAGGGGTGTCAAACGATTCGGAATGACTTGAAACCTAAAATTAGCAAATCAAGTTTTCTGGCGAAAACGAACAATAGTTTTGGTTTAAACCTATTTAGCTTAATCGATTAACTGAAGAGTATTGTTTGATGCCGTGCTTATTAGATTATCCAATAAACTGATAATATAAATCATAGCGTTAGCTTCAATCGATTAGATTTAATAAATTAACTAATTAGTTATTGTTTGATATCAAAAATAGCCTAAAAATTTCGATGTCTCATTTATAATTGGGCATCACTGACCCGCCGAACACATTGATTCTATTTGTGTTCCTTTTGCGCAGGCGCTCACGCGAAAATTCAGACACACGGCCGAAGACATAATATAATTTATAACCGAGACAAAGTCTAACAAATATTATTATTAAATAATTAAAAAGACCGACAGAACAAACATCTGTTTGTGGTAAATGAATTATATAAGTTTTGGGAAACAAGCTTAGCATAGATCAACAGAATTTTCATGCTATCTTTGCTCTTGGAAAAGTGAATACGCAATTACCGTGACCGCAGTTAATTTTATATGTTAGACTGAGTGACAAGTTGAAGGAAAAAAATAAGTAAGTTGTTTTTAATCATAATTTATCTTTTAAGTAATGGAATTCTCTAATGATTTATAATTGCTAAGCTATGTCTATGATGAGCTATGCAAAGACACGCATCTGCTAATTGTTAGTAATTAATTGCTTAAATAATAGACATTTAATTAAAGCTTCACAGTATTTGAATTTTCCAACTACTTGTCGAGATTTCAAACTATCTGAATTGATATACTAAAAGTTTTGTTTCTTTCGTATCATCTTATTCACATTGAAATTTTACTAATATTATTGGCAATCTTTAATTTCAAATATATAAACTAATTTAATATATGCCGTTAATCAAAGAAATCAGCAATTTGATTTTTCTGAATATAAATAAAAAAACACGTTAATAAATTGTTTAGATGCGAATTACATACACTTAATGTAGCTTCAAAAAAAATGTTTTTCATTTTCAATTAGTATTAAATTTAATTTCTATTCACTATTTTGCTATTTCCTTCAGTAATTCAAATATTCATCGCAAATATTTTTGAGATCAAACAATAATTATTTCTATAATCTTATGTTAATATATAATTTTTACATACAGAAAATGTCTCTGAATCCAGACACATGTTCAGTCCTTTTGGATCCAGCATCTGCTTCAATGATTTCATCGTCCACTTCGACGACAGCTTTTCTTGCCGATGAGGAAGCATCCACTTGCCCACTCTTGTTATCAGCTACTCCAAGTCCTCCGCCTTTAGACTACGTCGATCCACCTAGCAGAGTACAAGTATGTAAGATTTAAAAAAAATAAAGGCATAAATTTATAAATTCATAAATTACCTCTCACAAAAAGCCATCTTAAGGCGTTCCATATATATAGTATTTGTATTTCATCGACATTTTTTATCCAGGCCGAGGAAGATGCATCCACTTGTCCACTCCTCTTATCAGCCACACCAAGTCCACCGCCACTGGACTACGTGGATCCACCAGATGGTAAAACTGACAATCCATGCGCAGAAGAAGGAGTAGAGCAAGGATGCTGTGTGCAAAATACAGAAGAAGAAGAAAATGAAGGAATGGGCAACGAAGAGACCAGCTCTTCTGATGGTACTGAACCAGCTCAAGCACTCTTTGGCGGCATGAGGGAATATCAGCATCTTGGTTTCACACATCAGCAGGTATAGACTTTAATAAGTTTTGATTCTATAATCCGATTCATAATTACCGGTTGAAAAATATCCAGGATGTGTGTTCCGGTAAGCCTCCACTTCCTACTGGTGGCTCAGACCCATGTTTTGCTTCTTGGAATTGGCCAGTCATCCGAGCTTTTGCCTTTTGGCTATGCACTCTTTCAGTGGTAGCTTGCGGAGTAGCTGTTGGTTACACTCTTGCAACATTACCGAAGTCTTGTGATCCAAAAACAACTTGGTATCGAGGTGGAGTATTTTACGAAGCTTCGCCGCTAGTATTCAGTGATTCCGATGGAGATGGCATAGGAGATCTCAAAGGAATCGCTTCAAGGTAAGTGAAATACAGAAAAATAATAATATCCCCATATAAAAATTACTATTTTATTGTAGGAGTGACTACTTGAAAACTCTCGGCATTTCAGCTTTGCACTTGAATAACATCTTTCCATCGCGTCACAAAGGAGATATTTTTATTCCCGTAGCAAACGATTTTGGAGTTAGATGAAGCCCTCGGAACACCTGAAGATTTCATATACTTAGCAGAAGTATTGCACTCAAGAAATATATCATTAGTTTTGGATTTGCCTGTTTATCCGTATGTGAAAAAACTACAACCCGTTCACAAATTGAAATCAGCAGACGAAGATCAGCAGACCAAATTATTAAGTGCTAATAAATATAATGATACCGAGGATAACAAATACAATTTTGACGACAACGTATTGCAGGGAACTGATGATGAAATCGGTAGAGCAATTAAATTATGGGCTGATCGAGGTGCTGATGGATTTTATCTCTTGGTTAGCAATGACGTAAACGAAAAAAAAAACTATTTATATTAAATCATTAATTATTTTAAATGTGCAGGGTATTGAGAACTTAGCTGACGACGAGAATCTTCTAGATTCTTTAGCTGGATGGAAAAGTATTTTAGGAGAAGAAAAAATCCTGATTGTGAAAAAAGAACTGTTAGATAACTTGGATAACGATGGAGAAATAGACAGTGTCCTTGGTAAATAATTTTAAATCATATTCACCGTAAATAGCAACTAATTTCCTCTTTCTAACAGCCAGCGCAGATCTCATTGACGTACGACTGACTGCTTGGAATGACAGTGCTGATTTGGGTTCTCAGATTGAAAGATCACTGAGTGGTCCTTTATCACCAGAACGAGGTGCATGGATACATTGGACATTAGGATATGGACACTCAAACTTTTTTTCGGATGAAAATTTGCCGTATGTACCGTCTTCTAGCTTACCACACAACGCAACCTTGGCTACCACTCTCATGCAGATGATGCTACCTGGTAAATAATAATAATTATATATAGGCATATTTGTCAATCACAATTTAAGGAAAATGTTTCAAAACAAATAATAAATGAGAGTTTAATAATTTACTCCAAATGCTATAGGAACCACAAGTATTCATCACGGAGATGAAATTGCTTTGCAGAAAAATGAAGATTCGGAAAGAGATCTATTAGTGAACTCGGTGGATCGCTTCAGCACAGAACAAATTGCTGCTATGATTCGTTTACGATTAACAACACCTGTAATATATAAAAACTCCATCAGGTACATCAAGTTTATCAAATGTTTTGAGATAACAAGCAATAAGTTATTTATGCGGTTCTTACCTCATCTTTCAGAAAACAAGATATCGTTTCGAGTAATTTTGCAGTGCGAAGTAGCGCAGACAACTTGCTCGTATTAGAACGATGGTACCCTCGACGGAACTCAATTGCTTCCATCACCAATATGTCCCCAGCCAGTGTCACATTGGATTTGTCCAGCATGTTTTACAGTGGAATGCGAATGCTTTATCCTCATAATAACGAACATCTTTCTCAAACATCCGAAGAATATGAAAAAATCTATTTTAAATCATTGCACTTGCACCCGCACGAAACACTTGTTGTCCGACTAGATAAGTAAGTGTTTTATGAGAAACATACATCTATGAAGTGTGATATTTTTTATATTCATATAATATATTAAAAATTGTTAAACAGATTAATATTATTTTGGAATAGTTTGTTCTTTTAAAAGCGAGTAGTAAAATTAAAGAGCAAGCATATTCGGAATAGACCTATTATTATTGTACAAGATACATTAAATAAACTAATGTTTCAATTATAGAATCAAACACTGTTTTATTCTATATATTTTTATTTATTAAAATACATATTTTTTTCAATGTATTGCTATTACAGATTCGAATGCGTGAACGATATGTATCGTGTTGTATTTCAATAATAAATAACTAACATCAAACTTTTTAAATAATTTAATTACAGGAAACATCCGACATTTATAATGACCAGATTATAAACATAATAAAATGACTTAAGTTATTTGTATGTACGACTATTTATAAATTATATTTAATAAATTTGCTCATTTCATGTTGATATAAACATAGAAGTACGAGTAAATAAACTAATTGCGAATGCAGTTTCTCGGAATGTTTTTGCGGATCTTATTGCCTGTTAATAAGACGCTATTTAAATATATATAGTTTTAAATAACAAAACAATTAACAATGTTAAAAAAACATATTACAAACAAGTTCTTTGCAGTAACTCTTTAAGCAAATATCGATGCATCAATCTATATATAAAATATTAAAAATAATATATACAATAAGGCAATGAGTGGTATTATTAGTAGCTAAATTGTATTTTCAATATAGTACAAGATGTAGTCAAATCAAATAAAATCAAATCAGATACTGCTCAACATATCATCATATTTGAATGATTTTATATTAATTTCCTAAAACAATATTTTAATTCTTATATAATAAAAGCAAACTTGATTAAATAGGGAGTTCTTTATACAATGGCACCCTCAAGCTTTCATAGTACAGATTTCTAAAAAAAAACTTATTTTGTGATATAATAAATATATCAATTTGATAAACCCTTCAAGTATCAAATATTTTAGAATTAAATTATTTGTCTAGCGGTGGGTAAAACAGTCTAAAACTGTGCACAATATATGATGCAAGAAGCCCAAGTGAGTTTGCACTTAAAGCGCCCATTGATAATAAATTATCAATAATAAAGTTCTCACTATTACTAATTAAAGATTAAACAAATAATCTTGAATTTAAACAACTCATATTACGTAGTACGATTTTTTCAGAGATTTATCTTGTTATATCAGTAATAATTGTAAAAAAGTTTATACAAAAGTTTAAATCCATGATTACAATCATAGGAACAAGTTCTAAAAACACACAGCACGTAGAACATATATTATTTCACCACAATGTATCACAATAATCATGATTGTGAATGAACAGATTTATGTTTCTGGCATCCAGGCCCATTCAAAACATAATTATTACCTTTAGTAGTCGTGCGGGTGATTTGCTGTGTTATTTCTTCGCCAGGCAATGCAGGTAGTTTATCATTCGGATTCCTTTTCTGTCCTGTTCCACTTGTTTTTTTCTGTGTTGCTGTGATTGGATATTTCAATTTAGTGCCTGAAGATGGCATAACAAATGCTTTAGTTTGTTTCAATAATGATCTATCATTACAAAGAGCAGATATCATAGGCAAATCTAGATTTTTGCTCTTTTCTCGTAATGTTAAAATATCAATAGAACTATTGACATTATTCCCACTCGATTCATTAGAAGGAACATTTCCTTGTGGAGCACCTGTGACTGCTTTGGCACTCGAGGTACTAGGTGACAATTTTGTTGGAGAGGTATTATTATTTACTACAGCAGTTGTATTTTTTACAGAAGTTGAACAAACTGATGTCTTAATAGATGATGTTATCACAGGTTGTTGCATTTTATGAGGCAATGTCATTGTATTGACAACACCTTGCATCGATGCAGTAGAAACATGGGATCTATGAGGCAATGTGGAATTATTATGGGTAACAGGAGAATTGTGGGATAAATTGCTCGTTTTAAAAGAATTGTCTAAAGGCGGAGAAGGCATTGGTGGCTTTGTGGATGTGGGTGGAGGAGGAGGAGGTAATCTTTTATACTTTGCCGCTGTTCTCGTCGCGGTTTCAACAGAATTTAATATATTATCATCAGACCTAGCTCGGGTGAAAGAAGGCCCTACTATTCTCCGAGGCAACGGCGGGGGTGGAGCTTCATACCTGGTTGTAGCCGCGGCGTATAAAGTTGCTGTCGAATAACCAGTGGGCAATTGCACGTAAGCATCGCTTAAATTTTGCGTAGACGCATATCGTGAATGTGCGGTAAAGGCTGCCAGTGGCAAATATGGTGCACTGCGATACAGAACGTGGCTCTTTGCGTGGTGAGGATATAGCGGTGTTGCAGCAGTTTGCGGCGCACCTTGGCGTCTATGTGGATACGGCGGCGGATTTGTGTGAGCAGCAAGAGCTGCCAATTTTGAATCCAGATATTCCTAAAATGTAAAATAATTATATATATAGATAGGTTACTTATGATGAAAGTGACTAAAACTGATAAATACTAATATTTTTCTTTCATCCAATGTTTAGAATAAATTAAAATAAAATTCACATACCTGTTTGCTAATTGATGGATCTTGCAATGGATAGATAACATAATCCACGTCGCTGTACAATTGTTGTTGAAATTGTTCTAGTTGCGACCTTGCAACGACTGCAGCCACCGGAGGCGGTGGAGGTCTGCGTGGAATAATCGGAGCAGGGGGCGGAGGCGGCGGAGGTAGGTACTGTCTATGATGTTGCTGTTTCATATTCTGTTGGTATTGTTGATTAAACTCATGTTGAAATATTTGTTGTTGATTAATATCATGTTGATATAGTTGATGGTTAATATCATGCTGATACAGATGTTGCTGATTCATATCATGTTGATACAGTTGCTGCTGATGAGTCAACGTGTGATGATGTACAGGGCTTGGAATATAACGTTGGGCGGGTGGTTGTTGTACGACTTGCTGCGAAGCCTGTATAGCTGCTGATTGAACGAGCATAGTTGCTCCAGTTGAAGTTTGAGGGCGCGGATATATTGACTGATCACCGCTTCGTCGGGGAATCAACTCGTCTGGATATGCAGGAGGTGGCGGCCTTGTACTTGTTGTTGCGTTGCAACTGCTACTTTGAAGAATAACATCAGTGACAAATAAAATAATAAAATAAAATCAAATAATATATTAGATAACATACCTAACATTACTATATCTATGCTGAGCAACTCCAGATGACGTTTTATTGCTCGTAAAACTGGGTTCGGCTGCTGTATTGACTGCACTAGCATGTGCAGTTAAAATATTTATATTTGGCCTAGTCGTTACAAATCTTGCAGGAGCTTCTGTTGGATATGGGGGTGGTTCTTTTGTATAAGAAACACCAGGATATGCGTACCCAGATGCATTAGCATTGTTACTTCCTTGAGGAAGCAAAACGTAATCACTATCTACATCTGGCTTGCCAACTATTAACTTTGATAATTCATCAGCTGATAGCAAAACTCTGCGTGCATCTGTTGGATCACTGCCGTCCCCATGAAAAGATCCACTGGCGCTCACAGTTGAATCAGTTCTTGGTCTGAAAGCATCTTCTAATTGTCGAAATGGATCCTCTGTAGCAGGAAATGTATCTTGCTTTGTTTGTGCCTTAGGTTGTTTTTGTTTAGCAAAGGAATCTTCTCTTCTGAAAGCATCCCCATGTTTCTTATTAAACGAATCTTCGCGGACAAATGAATCTTGCATTTTGATAAATTTTTCTTCCCTTCGGAAAGAGTTTTCTCGCTGTGCAAACGAATCTTCGCGTCTGAAAGAATCATTCAGACAATGAAAATTATCTTCTCTTATAAAAGCATCTGCATGCTGTCGCAAGGAATCTTCTCTTAACGCATAAGATCCTTCGTGTTGCATCAGCGAATCTTTTCTTAATCCTTCGCGCAATCTCGGCGATTCTATCCTAAGGGCATATGAATCTTCGTGTTGTCGAAGTGAATCTTCTCGCAGTCCAAATGATTTTTCTAAATCTTGAAATGAGTTACTATGCCTAGAATCTATTTGGTCGATACTTGGACCCGTACTAGAGACCGTATCGCTAGCGGCTATGGAAGCAGGAAGAAAACTGCCATAGTCCAAACTTTCCGTAACATCAGAATCTGCAGGATCCGTCCTTGGCTCACTGTCCATTGTATACACACCACTAGTTTCACTAGCACGTAATGTATAAACCCCTATTAAAATAAATAAATAAATATATATATATATAAATATTTAAAAAAAACTAATGATTATGAATAATATATGAAAGTGTTACAAATTGATATTTACCAGAGGTGGAATCCTCTTCCCTAATTGAACTTCCGTATTCAATTTCCCCTGTATTTGCTGAATCGACGCAAGTTGTTGATTCCTGACTTAGTGCAGAGTTCTGAGCTGTATGACTATAACCCAACTCTAAACTGCTTGCGGCTGATGCTCGACGATTTGTACAAACTACAGGGATGCCAACGGTTGCTACGTCAGTGCTACAACTCGAAGAACACTGTGAGCTCTGGCAAATTAGACTCGCTGATGTTTGTGAAACCTACAAAGGGTTAAAAGGTTATAAGTTACTGAAATCTATTTGACTCCTCAATATCAAGATTAAATGTACCTGTGAACCTGTTGACAAGATCGACGTTGTATTGTTGCTGTGACGTTCTAAGCGTAAATGAGCTGCAGATGCTCGTAAACTTTGTCTTAGAAGATCAACAGATGGAGAATTAGGAGAACTACTTGAATATGGTTTTTCCGATAATGCAACACAGAGAGATTTGCTTCTTTCAACGCCTGATAATGCGGCTAATGTTTCCTCAAGGTCCTAACAATATATAAAAATTAAATGATTTTTATTTAAAATTAACAAGATAGCTATTTTCAACTACCTTCAAAGAAACTTGTCCAACAGAAGATGTTTGTCTGCTAAGATCTTGAGGAATTCTGCCTGTGTTACCGCTGTCTAGAAGATGAGCAAATGCCAAACTTTCTGTTGAAGGAGCAGCAGCAGTGACAGCCACAGGAGGTGTATCAATCATGATCTCCAGTTCATCTTCAGAATGAACCCGATCACTCACAATTCCTGAAGTCGTGTTAGAACTAGTACTCGATATAACTGACACTCGCTGATCATCAGATTTTCCTATGCTCTTTCCTAGAACACAAAATTAAAAATGCATATCGAAAATTGTAACACTGAATATAAATATAAATAAACTATTTAATAAATATATACCATAAGCCGTTCTTAATGCATGTGCTCTATATCCCCCCGCGCAACAATCTCGCAACATCAAAGAACGTTTTCTATCTTCTTCATCTTCACGTTTTCTAGCTTCCACCAATCTTGGAGCCATTTTCAAAGAAAATTGATGCGAATCCCGACAAAGAGCTAAAAGCAATTTGCTCTTATCATCACCCGCCGAGTATAATACTAATCTTTTATCGCCTGATCGAATTTCGAATTTTCTTCGGTCAAAGCTTAATTTTGCTATACTCGACCAAGGAAACTGGTGCTCTTCCATATTTTGTTCTAGTAAATGTGTTCGTTCTACAGGTGCTACACGAAGACCTTTGGGACCAACAGACAACCATGTCGATCCAGGTCCAGTTTCAATTTTCGATGCACGCATTCGAAATACATGACAATTGACTGAATCATGAAGGCGTGAGGCTTCACGTAAATAAAGTGCCAGCGCTTGATCACGGTCCAAACCTGCATTATCTAAATGACAAGCTCGCAGTGCCGCAGCTCCCCAAGCGTTTCGCAATCCCTAAAAAATGAGTTTATTAGATAATTCCATTCTCCGTAATCGAATGATACATAGTAATAAATAAAATACTAACCAAAGGCGCGTATTCTTCTAGATCAAAGTAACCTAACGCACATGTACCCTCGTCAGGCGCATCGCCCTTATCAACCTGAAGCGCCAATCCACCTAATGCTAACAGAGCCTGCTCGGTCGCACCTGTACCAAAGCTTTGGCTTTTCTCTCCGACTGTCTGATAATTCTGACTGCCTAAACTTTGAAAATTCTGATCTAAATGATTCTGACCAAGAAGATTTGGTCCGAGATGACTGGTCGATCCTTGATTTCTTTCGTGATTCAGAAGTGAGACAGGATCTTGTTGGTTTTGGCCAAGATATCGATGCTCGCGCGTCGCTGCGTTTTCTTTCAGCTGTTCGTAATATCGCTTTCGAGCTGAAGCATCGCGTAATACCGCACCAGGTGCCTCCACATAATATCGAACTCGATAATAAAGCTCCAACAATGGTCGTCCGTTTGCGTCCAAACCCTAATCGAAATGTAATAAAAATTAATAATATTTTGTAACATATTTTAATTACGAAAAAGTATGCAAATCAACTACATGCGAAAAATAATATCTTTCATGTCTATACTCACATGTGTATGTGATGCCCTCCAACTTTTTGGTGCATATTTGGAAAGTTTGCTGTCTGGATCGGCGAATAAATATTCTCCACCTGAAACAACAAAACTCAATATTACAAAGATAAAAACATTAATTATAAACAAGTAACGTATCAAATGCAAAACAATTGCCGTTGTATATTTAGAAATCTTGCCATGCATGAGTCAAATTGTATATAACTGCATAGCTGCAATAAAAAGATTGTTTCAATTCAATCCGATGTTTATTTAAAATATTCAACACAGTTAGCACTTCAAAATACGTCGTATGCGCGATGTTTACAAAAAAATCGTCAATCTATGGTCGTTTATCAACAATAGTTCTTTCTATACGCCAACTGTCGTGCTTATTTAATTTGTCTAATTAAAACATACTGCAAAAAAATCTCTGATAATATAACAACCAAAAACTAAATAATAAACTTTAATGAAATGAGTGCGTAATCGAAGATAAAAATAATAATTAAACTTCCTGTTTTTTGGTTGATAAATTCCGATTTCGTATGTTGAAACAGTGATTAGATACTCAAATATAAAAAGTATAACAGGAAAAAGCATCCCGGCAATTATTGTGGAATGTAAAATATAAATTTAAAAAACTATCAAAAAATTGTAAAAGATAGGTATCATTTTGAGAACTGAGGTGTTATATTCGATGTTGGAGTACTTTAAAATTACTTTAACCCCCCAAAATGATATCATAGGTCGCTATATGGTAAAAAAAATTCATAGCAGCGTGCTGTCGGGCGTCGCGCATTGCCGTCGAAGCGGCCGTTGAAGAGAGAGTACGTTGACTCCCTTGTGACATTCCTCAGGTGCTTTGAGGAGAAATGTGAACAAACGAGAACAGTGACGAGAGAACGAGACGGACGCACGAACACACGGCCAAAGGCTCAATCGGAACACAGGCCAGTCTCGCACACACCGGAGCAAAGGAATCGCGGCGATCCGATTGAGCGGAGCCAGCCGGCGGATCATAACAAAATTCTGAGGAGAACTCGCCAATTCACGATACGTACGGACGCGGGCTTTTTGTTTCGCGCTTTTGCCGATATGCCGCAATGGAATTTCGCGATGTCTTTCTTTCACGGAATCGATGACATTATTAGGATGAATTAAAATATGTCACAGTCATGAATTTTAATGTCACTATTTCGCAAAATAGAGGCACATGTGACATGGAAACATATATAGATCTAGCGACCAAATTGTCGATACCCTACCATATGAGATTTATCATAAGAAAATTAGCTTGATTCTTGAAAGAACTTAAAATATAAACAAAAGCGTACAAAAAACTATACCTCAACATTTTTTATTGTGAGATGCCAACACTAAACATAAAAACAAAAAAAAGGATCTCAAAGAAAAAAATGAATATTATACAAAAAATAGCATAAATTTGCTAAATTGTATAGTAACTAGCTGTAAGTGGAATTCTGTCTTGAGGCAATTATGGCATCGTGCCTTAAGGCAAATTGCTGGAACTTCCCGTACCGTAACAAAATGTTCGAGGAATACTGAATGTTTTCAAATAGATTAAATATTGTAACATTGTCTAATATTTATAAGAATTATATAAACTGAATTGCAGAGTTGAAATTATTTGTAAAGTATATTAGAACTATAGCCAGAATTAAAAATAAAATCTGAAATATTTTCGATATACAACTAAAAAAAAAAAAAAAAAGTTGGGACAAAATTTTTTTTTCCAAAATCAATTATTTTGTTAAGCCAAGCAGAAAGTTCTTTGAATCATTTAAATCGGACGCTTAGTTCTCTCAAAAACTCCATTTTTTACATATTTAGCTCCGTATCTTCGAAATGGCTGTGCCTGCCTTTGCCAAAAACTAATAAACACTTCTCCCAATCATTACTAATTGAATGTTTTTTAGATCATTCAAATCGGATACTCCGTTCTCTCAAAAATTCGATTTCTATTTTCTGCACTCTTTGCACCGTATCTCCGAAACGGCTGGACCTGCCTTTGCCAAAAACTAATCAGCTCTTTTCCCTATCAATAAGAATCGAATGTTTTTTGAACCATTCAAATCGGTTGATCCGTGCGCCTTAAAACGTGACTGGAAATTTGTATCCATACATACACACACACACACACATCCATTTTTTCTGAGGTATGCCAAAACGTTCAGAAACCTTCAAAAGGTAGAGAAATTTAAAAATTTTCAATTCCGATTTTCGGCCCATTACAATAACTTACCCTACGGGAAGTTAAAAAACAAATGATGATGAATGTATTAATAATACAACTATTGAAAGTACGAATGTAAAAATTTTCTGTTTATTTCATGTTTCAGTTAATATTTTAATACTTCACAACCGAAGTTTTAGATTTTAATTTGCGATAAAATCGTTTAGTTTTGTCTTTCACATCAACTTACATCGCACATCAAAATACCTGCGCCATATACGGAAAGTTTTGCAATGATATGCTAAGAATTCTTGAGAATATTTCAAGAAACATAAAATAAAATTAATGACATAAGCTTTTTATACCCAAGAATTTCGCGCATGGTTTACGAAAACTTACAGCAAAACCATATGTGGGAATATTTATTCAAATATATAATGAGTGATCAAACACAGGAATGTGTTGTGGAATGTCAGCGTTCTTATTTTGCATAGATCTCTATGTGTGCGGTTTGCTATTTATGTGGATGCGTTACACGCAAATATTTGGCATTCCAAAAGGCGACAGACTGTCAATTATCGCTGTTCTCATTGAATATTTTTAGCACAAATATCTAAACAATGTCTGTAGAATTTTTTTTATAGATGTCGTAAAATTTAAAATATGAATAACATTAGTAATTTGATAACGTTTTCTCGTTATAATAAAATAAGAATTTTTATTAAAAATGTTTTATGTGTGATTTTAATTAAAATATGTTCAAAATAAAATTTACAAATTAATGTTCAAATTTATAGCATATTAATTATTATTAGATATTCTCCAATTCAAAGACAAGTTCTTATTGGACCAGAACATTGTCATTTACTTCAGCACGTGTTTTCCGAGAACATCAGTTTTGTGGGCGCGTAGGCGTGTAAATGGGGTGCGGGAATACATTGTGAATCAAATTTGACCGCGGGGTGATGTTGCCTTACCACGGTCCGCCAAGTCGACGTCGGAATGTGGCCGGCAGATGTACAAATCGTACGGGCCCGGACGCCGAAGGAATTTTATGGCCAAAGCAACACGGATAAAAGACCGAATCCATTATAATAGGCTGAGCGATTTGACGTTCCTCAACTAGGAGTGGCGCGTATCGCATTGTTAATAGAATCATAGTAATCAAATCATTATGTTGATTAATTAGCTTCATAGTCATTTCCCTATATCTAACTATAATCTATAAACAAGTCATATAGTCCAGTCATTTGGTCGATTTGCCGGTACAGTACTCCGGGAATTCTGAAAATGGGTAATCTTATAGATTTCGACGTGCTCTTTACGAAAATCAACTTTGCCACCTCAAATTTGAACGGCAAGTTGCCGCCATATTGGAAAAATGCCGTCAAAAAAGAGCTTTTTTAAAATATCTTCTTTCTGGCTTATTCTACGATAAAAGTATATATGTACGAATTAAACTAGATAAAATTTCCTACAATTCCTTCCTCGTTTTTTTTGTAAAATTGATAGTTTGAGAGTACGGCCGCCTCAAAGTCTTTGCTGCTCTCGCCTTAGTATCAAATCTCTCCATATATGACAGCACTTTGAACTTGACCATATCCTTTCTAATAAATAAATATTTTCAATGTTAAATTAAGCAAATAAGATCTAGAAATAAAATAATTCAAATATTTTTCTGTTATTTTGCTGATTTTTTAACACTTCAAGCTATTTACTTATAGCTACTTTGCCATTGAAGTGTTAAAAAATCAGCAAAAAAACAGAAAAATATTTGAATTATTTCATTTCTAGATCTTATTCGCTTAATTTAACATTGAAAATATTTATTTATTAGAGAGAATGTGGTCAAGTTCAAAGTGCTGTCATATATGAAGAGATTTGATACTACGGCGAGAGCAGCAAAGATTTTGAGGCGGCCGTACTCTCAAACTATCAATTTTACAAAAAAACGGTTTTCTAAAGAATTGTAGGAAATTTTATCTAGTTTAATTCTTACATAGATACTTTAATCGTAGAATCAGCCAGAAAGAAGTTATTTTAAAAAAGCTGATGTTTGACGCTATTTTTCCAATATGGCGGCAACTTGCCGTTCAAATTTGAGGTGGCAAAGTTCATTTTCGTAAAGAGCACCTCGAAATCCATAAAATTACCAATTTTCAGAATTCCCGGAGTACTGTACCGGCAACAGCCTTTTTTTGCACCAAATGACGGGACTAATATATTTAATATAACTTAATGCTATATATTGAATATATTAAGCTATGCCAAAAAAATCAAGTTACACTTCGCCTCTCATCACTTCAGTTTAATCGTAAGAGGCGTTGCATTCCTGACTGCTCAACATGGTTATATATAAACGGATTAACAAATTACAAAATGCATCGATATCTCGGTTTCATAAAATAAATCGGATTCCTTCGAAGTCACGATGCTCTTGCGCTCCGGCGCATGCATGTATATTTTAAAGGTCTCCGCATCACCGTTCTAGCCCGTCTTCCGTCCCTCGTGCATTCGAAGAGCGGGCACAAATCTTTTCTGCCCCCACAAAACACGCGAACACATAACACACAAGAGAAGCCGTGTACCAGAAGCGCTACCGGTGTTACGCCCGGCGCTCGGCCACGCCAGTCTCCGGCATGCGGAGCCGATTTTAAAACCTTGACAAACTTAATAAAGGAATCTCTCTAACATAGGAATACGAATAAATAAAGATCGGGTTTATATTGTATTCATTGAACATTATGATATTGCTAAAAATTAAAAAATACATCGGTGGATCTACATTTAAATGCTGATTTTCACAAGTAGTTAGATTTCATTAAGTCGTGAGAGTATGAAAGTTATAAACATAAGTAGATATTTTGTAAGAATCATGTTTAATTACAACAAATTTAAAAAAAATGTATTTTACACATTATATACAGTAGGATCTTGCTAATCCGGCACTTCGATAGAACGAAAACTCCAATAAACCAATACCCTCAGCAAGCGCTAGACAACTTTTTGAAAATCTGCCGGAATTTTTTTCTGGTATTTCCAATGTATTAAAAAATTCGAATTCATTATAGTTATGTATATAATTGAACTAGCAAACCCGACGAACTCCGTTTCGCCACCAGATGGTTTCGTGAGAAAGATGAAGAATTTTTTTGTTTGTTTTATATTTGAAAAGAAAAAATTTGATTTTATTACACAACAGTAATGAATTTATTTCGATTACAAAAATGAAGTGATTTTTAGTTGAACTTCTTTAAGTAAATGAAAGTGAATCCGCAAATTATCCGTTTCATTGAAGTGCTCTTTGGTAAAACACATTTTTTGTTTTTTGGTCTGACGTTAACACAAACAAGGCGGATGGTTTCCCAACTCGTGAACAGGCAACGTATAACTGCCCATGTGAAAAACAATGATTTTCTAAATAATCTATTTGAAGTTTATCCCCCAAACACTAAGCGATTGGCCTTGGGACTTGTTAATTGTCATTGCGAACGCAAGGCGAACTGGAAATTGCAATCGTTTGAAGTCAAACGGAAGACCAGTCGGAATCATTGGTATGTCATTAAATCGCCAGAACTTTTTGATTGAATGGTGAAATTCAGTGCGTGTACATCATTATTCTTTGCGGCAAGAATTGCTCGTTGACTTAATTGCAGGCATAATTCTTATAATTCTCACTAATGTCATTACTCGAATTTTTAATTACGGTGCGTGAAGTTTCAGCAATTTGCATTAAGGCACGATGCCATGCACCGCTAATTTTCTTAGCTATAAACCTTGCGGAGCCCGAGACTTTTCCAACGAATGCAAAATTGTCGAAATCGGTTCGTGCGTTCTGGAGTTATATCGTCAGGAAGGAAAACCCGACTTATTTATATATATATATATATATATATATATATGTAGATTTCAATGAGATGAATGTTTGTATTTGTTTACATTGTTGTTAACAATGCCCATTTTTTTTACAATAATCCAGTAATTCGAGCATACCAGTATTCCAGCACCCTTCTGTTTTAGTGAGATTGTACTGTATAGATATATATATATATATATATATATATATATATATATATATATATATCCTCAGTAATAAAATTAATCAGTAGCCATCCCAAATATAACATGTGCATAAAAATACCACTAAAAAAATTAAATTCTTGAGAGGACCTTGATGCTGAACGCGCTTACATTATTGCCGAGAGCAAAAAATAATAACAAACTTTCTTCAATCAAAAGGATTATTATCATTTGGATTCTGTTGCGGCCAGGAGGATAATAAAATATCGTAAAAAACTAAAACCGCAGGAGTCGTAAGAGCGGACTACGAGAAGCTACATTTGAATTCCAACACCGGAGGCTGATTTATGTAATGAGTTAAGTACGTTACACAGAGGCCAGATTGCGCGTACCAGCAATGTTCTGTTTTTTATTGTTGATTTAAACTGATCGTAAAAGAACGTAAATTATTTTATTGTGTTAAAACCCTTTGCTGAACGTGGACATGGTTTATTACAAGCAATTACGTACCTATAAAGTTGTAAGCATTAATATGACTTGTGTAATAATACATTTCATCAGATATTATAGAGCAAAATAATAATTAAAATAATCCCTTAAGTCGTGTTTTTGTCTTATTATATTTTTGTACTTAATTCTTATAATCCGGTCAATACTGTAATATAACATTGAAGCAAAAATCTGACAAAAGTTACAAAGGTCATTGAAGATTAACGAGACATTTTATTGAAGTTGAAAACAATCAAAATTCATAAATGTTTATTATTTTTATCCATATTTTAATTTTCCTTGACATTATGCGTTATTCCTTCATACATATTTTATAGTGCCTTGGTCGCAATGTCGGCATCGGACAGTTGCATGTGATATGAAATACTTGATTGCATTAAGGTTTCTCAATAATGCAAGTATAGAAATGTATAATCTTCATGTTGAAAGTACATAAAAGCTTCTATAAGATTAACATTTTTGTAATATGAGCATTACAAAAACTTATTCATTACATTTGAACAATGAATAAAAAGCATAACTTAAATATCATTACCTAACTATATATTAGTTAGTAAATTGGTCATTTTTAATTCATTATATAGTTTTGATAAATTGGGAATATAATAATCGAACAGAAACATGTATAATATTTATGGAATGACAATTAAAAGCAATAGAGAATAATAATGAATTTTAAAGATAAATGAGGTATTAATTTGAAAAGTTGTTTAATGTGCATATTACACAACTATGTATTTAGATATGTACTTTCCTTGAACGTGAAAAAGTACATTAAAGATTTTAAAAAGATATGCATATAAATTTAAAATTAATGATCTATTAGTTTCATAGATAAGTATATTATCTTTCCGTTAAAAGAATTTTTATCGGAATGCGAATCGAATAAATGAAACCTTTGGTATGTGACTGCCGTTAATAGTACGCAAAACTCTACAAGAGAAATGTTTTACGACGAAATAACTATGATACTTCCTCAGGGTGACAAAGAGTGCTCTTATACACTCATGGTGGTTCACCAAAATCGAACAACATTAATAAGTAATTATTACTTTATACATATATGTAAGTGGAATATGCTAAATCATAAACATGAAGTTTTAAGTTTTAAAATTATAGACAATTCAATAAATAATTCTTATCAAGAAGATTCCCAACCGCTAACAATATATGCTTTAGAGCTATATCGCCGCGCGTACATCGAGTTTGACAGCAAACTATGACGGAAAAATGACGTCGTAAACGCTTAAATAGTCATCACTGACCATCTAACCTGATCCACGAAGAAGAGAGAGAAGTCTGCACACAGGAAACGATAACTTTCTACTTCATAAAATTCAGACACGGCGACCGTTAAAAGGCGCCATTGCGTATCAGAATTGAAATGAAGTATATGGCTAACCATCAAATTTAAATACGTTTGGCAAAAGATAATCAAAAAATATTCCAAAACCTACTTCACACAAGCTTGTTGGTAATTGTGTCATATTCAACAAAATATATGCACGAGAACTAATGATTGTCCAGTGAAAATCGACGAAGATGAAAATTGTGGGCGTACCACGATGGGATTTCTAACATTATGCAAATAATTAAAGAATTTCTAGTTATACAATATGTATGCTACTATTGGCTCGAGTTTTATAAATAGTTGTTTAAAATTTCCGTATGAAATAATAAATTTAAACAAAGAAAAGTAAGTTTTTATTGTAGTAGTCAGACTCAAATATAGCAGTCTCTATGTTCATTGACGAGTATTTCTGTTGAAACCCTACATACAAATTTTAAATTGGAATCATTTCTTCCTTTATTCACAGAAAAGGCATGGCTAAAGATTTACCATCAATACGATAAATGTAAAATAGATTCAACAAAAATTCGAAAGTATGTTTATGGAATTCAAAACCGTAAATATATGAGCATTCCAACAGCAAAATAATTATGTCCAAATATGGAAACGAATCAAAAATAATCAATTAATTCTTACCGCAAAGCACAGCTAGCCCGAATAGTTCGGCATCCTCCGCACTGATGCCTTCGTTCTCGGCAAGATGCGTCGTCATGCGCGCCTGCAGCTCCCTGACACGACTCTTCGCCTCCACCAGAAAATAAAGAGGCTGATGTCCAATAATGGTTGGATTGCCACCCGAAATATTTGTGGAAGCATTTCCACCAGAAAGGCCAGTAGGCGGATAACCAGCTCGGAGGACCAAATAACGTGATCCAGACGGCGGTGGTGCATGGCCTGATGCCGACGGAGACAACAAGGGTGCGCTTACAGTACAAAGAGTACGCATTGTTGAAGGTAATGACTATTAATTTGGAACCACAATTTAAACAAACGCTCTTTTTGACAATATACAACTTAGATTTGTTACAATCTATAGTATTTGGTAAAAAATTATTAGGAACAAAATTATAAGCGTCTTTCGTGTTTTTAGAGCGTTTAGTCCGACGCTTTTGGTAAGGGGGCTTATGTTGTAAATAAGGAGGATTTGTAGAAGGATGAGGAGTTCTTTGTGGTGTCGTTAGGCTACGGCGACGTCGCCGCCCGCGACGCTGGCGTCGTCTTTGCAGGGTCATCGCGAGCCGCCAGGCCGGAGCCCCGAGGCAACTCCCTGAAAATAAAAAAAATTATTAAAATTAATATATAAATAACTCACTTTATTTTTTATTGATAACTAAGTGTTCTAAAGTAATTGCTTTAGAGCTGACATCTGATATGTAAGATAAATTTACGGCACAATATTTTTGATAATAAATTTTTATTTAGAAGCAATTGAATGATGGAATGATAGAGTCAAGTCGTGTGCTCGACAGTCAGTTATGTTCGCGAAGAGTGGCCCAAGAACTCGGCATCATTTGCCGCAGAGGCATAAAACTATTACTATTAGGTAATACAGAATTTTATTTAATAAATTACACATTGAAATACAGTATTTGTTTCAAGTTATATGAAATATCGCTAATTAAGCTAGAATTCGAAAATGAATACCGTGTGAAAATACAAAAAATAATCTAATATGTTTAATAAAATACCTTGTACAACAGCACCAATTATCAAGTTTTATAAAGCTTACTATAATTTGAGATAAAAATGTTTTTTTAAAATTGGAATATAAAAATTAGAAAATGTTTTCTTCTTGATTTAGACATAATAAAAGATTCTAGGGTACTGCTGTTGGAAAATGAAGTCCATAAGCTAAGCTAAGCGAAAGAAAGTTTTAAACATTTTTGTTTAATTTATACTAAATACTTATAACTTCTATTATGTAACATTGCCGCATTAACTAATGTTTCAACAGCCCTGAAGCCAGGTCCCAGGTCGCTTCGAGTGGCCGCATTCCGCGCGTGATTGCGACTTTTTACAATGAACAACTCCAGCTACCCACACAAACGCACACCATCATTCCATGGCCAGTATGAATATAATTCTGTTGTTTGTGTTCAGAAAAGTTTATGACCAACACAGCAACCCGTAAATATTATATGTACGGACTATATTGAATGTGTGTGAATAAATAGTAGAGTTACGACGTAGTCTAAAATCCAATAACGTGGATTAATTCCATTGCAATTGTCATCGCATTGCTGAGAAATGCTGCCATGGAAATGTATTTTGATTATATTATTGTGGTCGCTTTATTAACTGACCTAATTGAATAAGTGCGTATGCATTATTTAGTTGATATCGTTTGGTTACTTACAATATCTAATAATTTAACGCAGTTGCATTCATTATAATTAAATTGTTTTAAATTTCTTCACGCTAAAACTTTTTATAAAAAATAGGATTTGTAGATGTCCTATTATAGTAGAACTATGAATGTTTTTTTTAAATCTCTTAATATTGTTTTAAAAAGAGAGATTACCCATTCTAATAAAATTGAGATTTATTATCGAAATGTTTGAATAGTAAGATGTATTTTATCGCTTCCTTATCAAATTCTTTTAAAAATACTAAACCAAATTCCGTATTATCTAATCTTACAAATTGATAACATAATTCAATCATAATCTACACACGACAATTATATTTTTTTTATTTATTTCTTGTTTTACTAAATACCACAAAAATGTTTTTAGTTGGTAAAGCCAAGTATTATCCAACGGCCAAGGCAAACATTTCATGTCATTTGTTTTTTCTTCATAAAAAGAATTGCGATATGTATTATATACATAAACAAGTCCTTGCTCTTTCTGAGAGCATTCTTTATAAACAAAATTCCTCGACAAATTTCAGATGTCTCGATAATACAAACGGCGACATGAATTACAACGCAGCTCAGGAATTTCTTAAACTGTTTTTATGTTTATGTCGCACAGTGCAGTGCGAATCGGATACTTTGAATTGATAAATAACTTTTTAAGGCATTCCGCAAGAAGTAAAAATGGCATGCTATTATATACAATATATTGAATTTATTACTAGAGCTGTCACAACTCATTTTTTGGGTGACGATTATTCGAAAGGTATATAAAAGTTCAATGAGTATAAATGAAGATCTAAATAAAACCGAAGAGTGCTTAGCTACAAGTGCTCTAAGTTTTGTATGTATTTAAACTATGTTTTATTGGTGTACGAGTTTTAATTCAAGCTTAATATATATCTATGTCTAAAAAAGATTTGGGCACTGCACTGTCTTTACACAACAGATGCGTTTTGGTATACAACCGCATTGAGCGGGAGATCTGAATCAAGCGAAGGAGATTCTCTTCAAAGAATGCGAGAGGATCCTTAAAATAAACAAAAAAACAACACACTCAACAACAGGCAAATCAAGATAGAAAAGGAACAAAAAGCACGTAAAACATTTCAGGATCACGCTCGTGAATTCACCGTGTGGGCCGACCGTCGTGATCAGATCAAATTTATAAATTATTGCACGTAATTCCTTTTTGGGGTGTTGACATATTCGACTTGTTAGAAATATTCACTTTTTGCTAACCGTTCATTGTGTACAAATTTTGTTTATAATTATTTTGTATCGGCTATCCGGTGGATTAGTGGTTAGGGGGCGTCCATTAATCACGTGAGGTTTTTAGGGGGAGGGGGTGTTTGACAAAAGATCATGAAATATCACGTGGGGGAGAGAGGGGTATAGTAAGATATCACTTGTATTTATTTGTTAAATGATTTAAAAAAATCTAACATTTTCAAAAAAAATTTAAAAATTTTACAGATTTATCACGTAACTAAAATTACACGTGATGTTTGCTTGGGGAGGGGGGTAATTTCGAATATCACCATGTATCACCAAAGGGGAGGGGGGATTCAAAAATCCTTAAAAACTCGCTCACGTGATTAATGGACGCCCCCTTAGAGCTATGGACTTCCAGGTTCGACAACCGCCTCGAACAGTCTGATGCCAAGAAGTAGTGACATCGCAATATGATTTTGAGTAAAAACAGCCCTTAACCAACATCGAGGAATCAAAAAAAGTCTACAGTATTACAAAAATTCTAATAATAGTATCAAATGGGGATAGGGTTGGCATCCACAAAAGCCCTCGTCGTTTAAGAAGTCAGCACAACAACTCATAAGTCTCGTTAAGTGCTGATTGCTGTTAAAAAAGATATTTGTATAAGAATTATAAGAACTGCCGATTTGCCAATATCTACATTCTTGTACGATTGGATAATGTAAGATACTCCGAAACCGCAATGCGGTAACAAGGAATGAAGACGTCTCTCATCAATTCATTGCTTCTGACTAATGACAAATGAAAAATTTAAATAGAAACCACGGAATACCCCTCTCGCCATAGTAGAGTATATTATAGTAGGCAGTCGGAGTGTATGAGTAAGTTTGAAATCGTTTTTAAAACCGCAATGATCCACACACAAATTCATCCTTGGACGATACAAACAAGATGGCTGACACTCTGGAATGCGGACGGCCTTCGAATACCACGGCGAGGGAACGAGAGAGAACCGCAGCGCTTGGAGCGGCGCAGAGCGAGAGGTCAATAATAAAACGTATTATCGTTACGTGCAACATGCCTGACTCCGTGGAGTACTTGCGATTTAAAAGAGACGATAGAGTTATATTGTGCTGCGCTCGGTACTGAACTAGAGTAGTAAAGTAACTTACTCTCGAGACTATATGAGCTCATCTAGCACCGGCACAGACCGGTCACCAGAAGCCCTACGACTCCCCTGGAACCCTTGTCAAGGACCAATCTTCCGGGTTCATGTATAACTGATATTGAAATTTAAATTGCAAACAATCTAGAAATTTCTTCTTCGAACAAATCTTATGAAGATACTTTAATCTAGTGAAAAGTCTCTTTGACCTTGCAATTACAAAGTTCCATGATCTATTTCAACCTAGAACAACCTGGTGTCAAACAGACAATCCGTTTTAACTTGAAAATATAGATTGTATATATAATGAATAATAATGGGCAGTACTGCTCTGGGACAGGTCCGTGAGATGCGTTAAACTCCAACTCGATTCGGAAAAATAGTGTGAGAGATTTCCTTCATTTTTAAAAAAAAAACATATTTTTAATCTATATTTCCAAATGAAAATGGGCATGGCTACTGCATGATATCAGGTCTTCCAGAAGATAGGCTAGAACTCGGAACCCCGTCCACAACACATAAATACAACTATTACAAATATATCAACAAATTATCTCACCACAAAAAATGGACAACCATCGGGTTGTTTTTTTTTTAATAATCCTAGGTATAACATCTCATTGAATAAATCGGAATAGTTCTGATTGTTGTACATTAGCAACCCTTTGCTATTTTAGGCGCAAAATCACGGCGTCACCTAAATATCAATGGAAGTAATTCTAGCATATTTATGCATTTTAATTTGAGTGGTATGTAAAGATAAAAGTTGTACTTGATTGTTATCCGTAAAATGGTAGAATATCATTAGATCTTTTAACCAATTTTAGTAGGTGCCATCAAATGAACGAAAATGTATGTCCCTTAGCACCGGACACTAAGTCGTTCCTTAGTGTCGCACATTGATATTTCTTGTGAGAATTTACGTAATTTATTCCAATTACTTATTCTGTATGAGTGCTAACAGCCACTACATACACATTTTTCGTATTTCCTAGTCAAAGAATGAAAAGCTTATGAATGCACCAGCTGAGAGCATCGGTGTGGCACAGCCAAAAGGGTGGATGAATAGTGACTTTTTTTTGCAATATCTAAGAATATTTGTCAAAGACACATGTGCAGATACTCCGGAGCATGGAGATGGCTACATATGTGATCAATGCAGGTTATTTTGAAATATCCGGTACTAGGTGCCACTGTTTAAAATCATATTTTTTTGACATCAAAGTTTGATTGATAGTATTAATTATTTTTTAGCAAAGATTGCGGTTTTGTTAATTTAGTTTGATTTCTAACTTTGTTATCTAACATAAGTCATAAGATAATAAACAT